TTTTGTACAGGACTAATAAGTTTGCCAGTTATGGCTGCGTCCAAGTTAGCACATTTATGGGAAAGCAGTCTGACATGCACACTTGTTCTGATTTCATTTAGTGTTAGTCATTTTTTCACCTGCTTGACAGTCGCTGTCATAGCGATGGCCGCTGCAGAAAGATGGCTTTGCATGAGGCGGAGGTCTCTCCTTACAGTACGCCGAGTTATTATTCTTTACATCATAAAGGCCTGAAGGCCTTTGGCACAAGTGGGACCGATATGAAAGTTTATTCTTGAAAGTTAACTAATGAAAGAGAGGTAACTGTACACCGCAAATGGCATAGCTAATCTGGGCGGTGTAGAGTTTTTGTTTTACACAACATAAAATAATGAATATGGGAAAACATATACATATGCATATCTGCTAGAAAATTAATACATAAAGAGAGGACAAGATCATTACACAGAGAAGAAAGAAATTAAATAAGATCAATACTTAGAAAAGAAGGCGAATAGTTAGATTTGTTTTTACATGCTTTTATCTTATATTTAGGAAGTTTCCGCCTCCATTAGTAGGAATTTGTTTTATTATTACTTTAGTTTACGGTCGTTTTTAGCCACTTGCTTGTTTTAGCTACTTGTTCGTGTTAATATCTTCGTAGTTTTAGTATTCTGGTTTTTATCGACAATAAATCTTTGTTAACCTTCACTTTGGTTCTCGTGATTGCGACCCGAAAAATAGTCCTAAACACCTCGGTAGCCATACGCCTAAAGCGACGCCTCGCTTGAATTTCATTTCAGTCGCCGCAAGCGTAATAAGTGTTTCCTTACTCGGAACTGGTTAGATCAAATGACCACCACAAACCGTATAATATTAAGCCAAGTTTTAATAATTATTCGATCTAAAAGAAATACATTTATAATTTGCAATTAGAACAAACGCAAATCAAGTCTTTATCTTGTAACTAAATTAAAAAACTTCAATATAAACTTACTTCTGTGGCGGGTCGTTACAACAGTCTCACTTTACGTGTTAGCAGATTCTCCAGGTAAGCGGATTTGGAGACAGAAAAACGATAACAAAATAACTTCTTTCTCACTTCGATTCTGCTGAAAAACTGACTTAAAACATAATAATCTAACGCTTTTAAATCAATCTATTGAATTAATGTCAATCACGATTCTTGTCATCGAATAAATCTGTCAACACGAGGCAACGCCTATTTATTAAACGAAACAATAAGGAAGTTCACATTAACAAGTTTTGTTAATTTTCTTTGTCAACCTGTATATCTAACATTTTCTCCGTGGTAACTCGGCGCTTGCATGTTGGCAAAAGTTGCAATATTTTTAAAAAAGCGGCTTAAAAGTGTGATTGCTAAAGTATGGAAAAAATTTTTTTAGGGCACAAATGTTGGTATGTTCAACAATCATTTGGCAATTATCGAGGTGCACTGAGATATTTCAAGCCGTTTATTGTACATTCCTTTTATTTCACAGTCAAACATCTACTAAATGATAAAAGGAGATAAATTGATGTTTTTTAAATAGTGTTAAATCAGTAAGTGTATTACGATTAGTGCCAGTTGAAATGATTTTCGTTCCCAAAAGCAGTCCCATGAATTTGATAGAATGTCTCTTTCGCGCAGCTTCATAAAGCCTTGCAGGATTCACAAAATTGTCCTTGTTGTCTTCAGAATCACCAAAGCAATGGCCGGTAAGAAGATAAGTAGGGAAAAAACAACCCTGCCACACCCTTATGCTGACAGTGAAAGGTGCAGACAAGTCAACACTGAAACTGACTCTGTGCGTGGTATCTTAATAACGACCTTGAATGATCTTGATGATCATTGTTTGCGAGATGCTATACGGGCTGATCTCAGGATTTTTCTGAGCATTGTTTGTCTACCATTTCACACACTCTCTAGATATCAACTCAACCGGCAAGGTTTATTACTAGTCTACCGACTGTTTTCTAATTATGCGGAAGGTTGCTCATTTGACCGTGCGAGATCTGCCTGCATCCGTCCACATCTTTCCTGGTCCTCTCCAGCAAATCCATGGTGCGTACTTCGCTTAGCAGAGTAAGGTCAGTAAGGAGCTGAATTCTCCTCCAATTATGGCAGTTACGATGATCCCCTTTCCTTTAACTTAGACGTTATTTACGAAAGACGATGGATTCTTGTCTTTTTATCGGTGTGCCATTGTTTTGGTTTTACTTTACTATGCTCAGTGATTGGCCGAGAAACTTCGCGCCAAATTGACAGTCTGTCACGTGGAAAACCTTCAACCAATCACGGCTTAGTCACTCGCGTTTTCTGATCAGTCGTTATCGACTAATACAATTTTGCTCTGACGACAACACACCACAAAATGCGTCGTAAATTTGAATGCCAAATAACATTTGCTGTTGAAAAGTCCAAGTGTAGCGCCCTAGAAAAACGAACGCAATGATTATTAATTGCAAACAAGTTATTACGTAACCGTCTTTGTTCGTGGCTTTCGTTTTTGCTTAGCTTAGTTTTGCGTCCTCGTATCTCTTGTTACCTTTGTTGATTAGTCATATATTGTGAGCAAGACCTTCTCCGGATCCCATGAAGTATTAGTAACAGAGTGTTAGTGTGCCTTCCGAAGGATCTCGATATTACTTTAATTTTTTGGTGTTTGGTCCGACCATAAGACTGAAGACTGAACAATACTCTAGCAGTGAACCTTATTGGTTCCAAAATGTTCACGTGATTCTTGACGTTTTAGTTTACTGCCCAAATAGAAAACATTTTCCATACTCAAGAAAAACATTATTCCGTTAATAATTCTAGTACTGCCTGACTTCATTAAAACGAACCGAAACGAAACTGAAAATAATGCAAACATCTTACATCTAAGCGAAAACAATTCTTTTTTTGTTCATTCTTAAACTAAAAGTTACAGCTATAGTCTGGCCCACAGATAGCTTTATCATTTCTTTATCTGTAGAGTGTTCAACAACTCCGCCCGGAGGTGCCACAGACTGAATTTCATCCCGTTGATTTTTACCAAACCCGTGGTCATTTCCAGTTCTTCACAAATAGCATTTCGGCGAACAATTCCCTTTTGATTCTGGATAAACAGCATCAGTCTGCTACCCAGAGAAGACTTTTTTTCCTCGGGAACAACTCTCTCGAGGTCCTTAGCACCAGACGAAGCTGAACTAGCTGGTGCAGAGATCACGGGTTGCCCAGAAGTATGCAGAGTCATTGCTTGATTGCAAATATCTTTCAGCCAGAGATCAACTTCTGTGTCTTCTACCATCACATCCCACGATTGTGGCGTTGATTCCGTGTCACCACCAGATGACATCAGCACCACTTCACTGGGAAGACAACCTGGAGGGAGACAGACCTGCACATGACCTGGGTACGTTATGCTGGGAGGACTAAGGCGCGAGGTAAAACATGGCACATTTTCACAATTGTCCGGGTGGTAATCTTTATCTTCAAAGGTCTGAACGGATGACGATGACTTCTTCTTTCCTTTCCATATGCGTCGTTTAAACAATCGTTTAGATGACTGAAACTTTTTGCAAGGGAGAGAGGCAGCTCCTTCTATATCAAAAGGCTCTACTATCAGTTCAGGCTCGTCGCGCGGAAAATCCACTTGTTTGCTGTTTTTTCCGTTGGCACAGGGCCATTCACTTCCCTTCGAAGATGAAAAATCATCTGGCATTAATTGATCTGCTAAAGGGCTTTCCTCATATTCTGCCCATGCAAAAATAGGCTTGATTTTTCGTCCGCTGTTATTTGCCATGACTCGTCTGAATCGGAGCTTAGCAAGACTGGCAATGAGTAGTTTAAAAACAATCGTTTTGTTCAAAACAAACAAAAATAATTAGACCTTACAATTAGGCATCAACATTATTATTTGTTTTGATACTGATTCGATAACAATATTCCAGATCTGTTTGCGTGTGATTTAGTTTGAAACAATGTGACTGAAATTATATGCAACAAAGTGGATTTTGCGTTTGCATTTTACACGAAATGATCAAGGTCATTGTGACTGTATGAGGGCGTTCTTGGTTTTAATTGCTCGAAAAACATTGTTTTGCCCTTCGATAAAGGTAACCCAATTGCAAATCGGCTTGTAGTTTGGATAATATTGATCTGAACCGGTAATTGGGGTAAATGAATGTATTGTGGCCGCTAATTTAATGAATTACCGGGAAACCTTAAGGTCTAATGATGTTGCGCTATTACAAAATCTGGAAAAACAACATCGATTTTATTTGTACAATTGCGGAATTAACCTTCTCTGACCGTTAGGAATGACCACTAACTAACTTCTCCTTCAAAAGAGCAGATTTGTGCGATGGCGAGTGGTCGAAAGAACTTTTCCATATGAACTTAGACAGAATTTGTTTGAAATCAGACGGAAGCGTCTGAAATGGAACAGAACTCGATTGGATGGAAATCGTACGGAAACCACAAAATCGAAGGAAATGGTCAGAAACGTCCAAGATCAAATAGAAGCGCCCTGTATTGAAATAAAGCGTATAAAATCTGCAATTACGTCCAAATTGGACGAAAAGGACGAAAATGAGCTATTTTGCCTCCACTACTCATCCGGGCACACAAAGTGTTGCTGCCAGGGCGCGCTAGCTAGCCAAGCCGCCGAACCATTTATTTAACACCAGTATGTTTACAAAAGTTTATTACGATGGAAGGAAACTAATTGCACCAAAGCCGGACTCGAAAACCTCTGAAAACCAGCAGGTGGAAGAAATGGGGAACGTGTACCCCGGTAACCGGTCAAGTCGCCCGTAGAAACAAAGGTTTCGAAGATCAGACTTACAGACTGCAAATAGGCAATAAAGTCTTCACAGATATTTATAAACTTTTCAATTTTCTTTCGCCTATTTTGCGAGGCAGTAGTTACATTTCATGTTTTTCTTTGAAATTATTTAGCAAGGGGTCGGCCGCTGTGTTGTGATGATAAAGTCAGCCATTCTTATTGTTGTTCGCCTGACATTTTCCCTGGTGTAAGTTCATTCCCAGGCCATCTCTCTATTTAGCGCTGACAGCGCAGCTACCTGCAGAAAGTGCAAAATGAAAACACAAAGTGTATGCCTTCTGTCCTAGACATGGGTACATTGAAAGTCTCCGGCGTCTTTGAAAATTGCCAGTTCGTGGTTGATTTTGCTGCTTCCTTGTCGCTAACGTACAAAGGGAAGGAAGAAATTCGACGAAAGATCGTAGAAAATGGCGGTACATTGTCATATGTACTAACAAAACAGGTATAAATAATCTTTAGTTTCAGTCGTAGCTTTGCTTATTAACGTAGCTTGGCTCTTCGTCAACTTAGACGACGAGGCTTTTCAACCAGTATAGCAAAATCCCCTTGGCCACAACGACACTTGAGCCTACAATGTGGGTTGTAAATAGCTGGAGGATTTCATAAGTTCAAACGATTTTTAATCTTTCAATAACCAAATTTTGGTGATTTTAAATTCGGTGTTATGGATGGTCCGACATTCTAAATTGGTTCGTAAGGGGGCATTCGAACTCTGTCACAGAATGATAGGGCAGCTAGCTATGGGCAAATCGAAGTTAGTTCAACTGAATAATGTATGGGTTGTTGAAAAGAAACTTTCTCTAGCTGATCATAGAAAATGAAATAGTGACTTTTTTTTTATTTTTGGCTTGAAATTCTCACAGCCTGAAAGGTTTCTGTTTCCTTTTTTTAGGGTTATGACAGTCGAATTTGTCAATAATCATGCTAATGTTGCAATTGGGGACCCTAGCAGGCCAGGGAGAGGGAGGGGAAAGGGTTTGGTTCAGCATTGCTGTCATTCTGGCTTATGGAGAGTGTATTGATGTAAAGGTGTGATACCTTTACCAACCTGTCTGAAAAAAAAAAAAAACTAAAAACATGTATACTGATACCTACTACAGGGTTTCAAATGTTTTGAAATAGGCATTAGACTTGGCAAAAGTAGGTGATGGTAAAAAGTACAATAAGAGCATTACAAGGGTAAATATTTTGCTATTAATAATTTAACAGATTTTATGGCACAATAAATTTAAGGGTTAGTTTGAATAAAGCTCTCAATCTCTACTTGTGTACCTTCACTTATCCCTGTCTTCTATGATGGAATATAAGACTGTTTTGTTTGAGAATCTAGCAGTCTATAAGAATACACCTCCTATTTGGAAATGCTTGTGCGGCAACAGTTATGTTTTGTTGAAACTTGTATATTTCTGTATTACAAGCTCCATTAACAAAATATCTATTTTATTTTTTGTAGACAAACTTTCTGGTGACTGGTGATTCTGAACGAGCTTTGTCATCGTATAAGGGAAGAACTGCAGTGAAGCTTGGAATTCCAGTGGTTCCATTTGATTTCATTACTGACTGCATCAAGTCTGGAAAACTTGTTGATCCACAGCCTTTTCCTTTGTCAGAAACCCTTGAATCACAGAACTTTAGTTCAGGCAAGATTGTTGGTAAGCTGTGACAAACTTTTTTGGCATTCATGGTTGTCAATTTTGTGTGAACATTGACTTTGTCAGATCTAACAGTTCAACAGCCCAATGGCCTTTGTTATTGGTTCATTTAAGATTCCAGATAGGATCTAATACTACAATATCAAATAGTAGGGGTTGGACTTAATTCCATAATGCATTGATTTTGATCCTGGCAAGATTATTTTGTCAGTTTTGGGCAAAGTACTTCACTTTCATATCACCCAGGAGTAAATTGGTAATCACAAATTGTTAATTAAATTGAGACTACTAAACCTGGCATTCAGGGGAAGTTGAAATGCTTCTGGTTATTTATATTGCAGCAGAAACTGGGTTATGGAGGCACATTATGATTGTCAGCTTGGCTTACTTTTAGATTTTTTTAATCACATCTTAAACTCCAAACTATTAAATCTTGAAAAGTTAGTAGTAAGGTATCAGATACCAAGCAAGTTATTTGAATTCATGAAAGGCATACAGATAAAAGCATGCAGTTTTTCCCCTTTAAAATTGACTTCCTTTGATGTGGTTTTGACAAAACAGCTGGAAGAACATAATCATTTGAGTCAAATTGATCATTGTAATTAAAATATGAAGTCCTCCAATTAGCAACCCTACCCATTGCATGTAAATGTCTCCCATTTTTTTCCATCCTTGAAACAGAAACATCAGAGGTTAAAAAGGAGTTTTACAGTTTCTATCTGTGCTAAATTTGTGCTTATTGTATGCATGCTACATTTATTATTATGATAGCTAAGAACCAAAGGGAAGATAATGTGACCAAACCTACAAAGAAACAGAAGCTTCCAGATCTCAATAGAATAAAGTAGGTGTAATAAAATACATCAGATATGTTATTGGTAATGTTGACCATGGAAGTGTGGTATATAGTCTTACATTTTGAGTCATACTTTTGCTCAATACTAACTGATATCTCTTTTTGGAGGTTTCACTTTAAGAAAGGGCAATAGTATTAGTGTCCATTGATACTGACTATCAAACTTTTTTACGGCCATCCCTTACAAGTACGTACCACAGTCTTGGGGTTGGTTGAATCAGTTTCACTCTAGGGTGTGTCCAGTTCTGGTGGCTTAATCCCAGGCTATTAGCAGTAGAGCATATACAATAAGCAAGAGCAGGGAGTCGACAGACTTTGCTGGCCTCTTGGTGATGTTACTGAATTGCTTCATGCTATGGAAACCAGCGAAAACCTTCAATTTGATGTGCCCATAGGCTGGGAAGGTGCTGGTTACCTAGCCAACTAAGAAAAATATGATCCTGTAATGCTTTCATTTCAGTCTCAACCTTTCCTTTTAATAGGGTGTGGCCTTACAAAGCAGTTGATGGTCCAGAATTTGATGAGCCAAACTGTGAAATTGTTAAAGATGCCCTACTAGCGGTAATGCTTTGTTCAACTTGAAAAGATAAATTATAGATAAGCTATTATGGCTACTCAACTTCCAAGATCTAATTACAGCACTGATAAAAAATTATGTGACAGTTAATTATCTCAAAACACACATCAATCAGGTGGTATTCTCCCGTAAATGGGCCATTTTAAGTCAGTTTCTCTTATTCAAGATGTTCAGTCAGTGGTTATTTTTGTAACTTGTTTCTTTTCTTTCTATAATATACAAAAATTGCAACTTGGCAAGAGGTTGACCATACAAATTTGGCAAATGAAAGTGTTGCAAATAAACATGTACCATGTCCTACTGGTTGTTAATGTAGTGGACATGAAATGTCTTCCCACTTATATGGAGGTTATTTTTTGCGAGAACTTTTAAAGATTTGCATGACTTGGAGAATCCCCACATAGGCTTACAAGATTTGAAATTTTGGGTAAAAATTATGTTAAACCTGAATTTTTTAAAGTAACAATGAAGACCTTTAGTTATTAGGTAATCATTGATAATAAGCGTAATTGATGCTCTAGATATAGCATTGCTTCTTTCAGAAAACAAATCCTGGTGAGGGTCCTCTTCTTCTTTACTCTCTGGAGTTGCACTTCATCCCTTCACATGTACCTTGCACCAGCTCAAGATACCGCTTATTTACGCACCAAGGTACCTTGATGGCATTCATCATGGTAAGATCAAATTTTGGAGTGTTGTTAGACAGTTAAAATCAGTTTGAGTTTTATCTCCTTTTGTGCCAGATTATGATAATGATTTTAAGAAGGAAAATATGGTTCAAACTAGTTTAAAAAATTTAAACCTAGGTAGCAATTGAACCACAAATTATATGTAGATACAAATGTTTCAAATTTGGTAGTTGACAAAATTAGTGCCATCAGCCTTGCTGTTGTAATTTCTTCAGCAAGATGTGGAAAAACAATACTGTGTATCTCTTGCATTGTTACTCAGCCCACTCACAGAAATGAAATTAACAACAGCAAACTCTGCTTGAGTATTTAGCCTTGGGTTGTAACTCCAAAGAAAAGCAATGTGATCAGCAGTTTTGAATATTGACCTCTTAGTAACTAAGTGCAAGGGTAGTACTGAGGAATATTGGCCTAAGGTCATGGCGGTATGGACTGCAGGCCAATATTACCCAGTGCAGCTCAAGCAAGCAAGGTTAGTAAGTAATTTCATACATCATCATGGCACTTGGATTAAACTTGTCTGGTTTGAATTTACCACCTCTTTGTAAACACTTCTGATAATCATTTCTATGGAAACCATCTGTATGGCAAAATCCCAGCTAAGTAAGAACTAATCAGAATAGTTGGATTAACCTCAAGGCAACCTGGCTGTAGACATGTATATAATAAGTAATATTGCAGAATTTGAAGCAACAAAAATTTTATCCCTCATTAAAAGGTGAATATGAACAAATGTACCTGGAGCCCCTTTACATAAGATGCACAAGACTTAACAATATGCATTTACTGTATGGATACATCACACCTTAGCAAAACATATTTTTGCTTTAATTGTGATTTCTTGTAGATTATCGGTAACCTTTACATTTGATTCTTGCAGGGATATAATGAAGGGACAAAGGAATGCAGATATTTCAGCTCTTCTGAGGAGGCATTTGGAGCATTCATTGCTATAACAGATCAGCAATTTGCAGACGGTTACAAGAAATTATCAAAGTATCCATCACCCAATATTGGCTCTGACAGACTGAAACAGGTGGGTATTAACTTATGTATTTGACAAAAAATGGTAATTTTTGTCTGAGTAAAATAGAAGAAAATGAGAAATTCCTTGATCTAGAGTGAGAGTAGTCCTGGAAAGGACTATTGTAAGGGAGGGTGACAGAGGCTTTGACAATCTGTTTGGAAGTTATCCTCACAGAAAAAGGACATTTGCTAGTGTGGTCTGATTGTCCTAGTTTGAGTAGTCCTGAGTCCCAATCGCTCTGACAAAAGGCTAATGCTCAAAACATCAGCCTTTTAACTCTTTATGGTGGCCAATTCACGTTATCAACTTAATTGATAACACTAAATTACACTGTTATACCCTCCCACTGACACAGTACCACTGTTTCTCTAGAAACTTACCCTCTTTATTCATTAGTCCTGAGAGGGATTGTTTTTGGTAGAAGTGATTGACACTTTGGCAACCTTTGTGGAAGTCGTCATCAAAGTTGACTCTGACAAGGACTCCAAGAGTTACTTACATCAAGGTTTTTGAAATTTCAGTGATTTTCTTTCCAACAATAGTCCTTCTTGGGACTACTCTTACCCACTGATAGGACAACAAGATTGAATATTGCTCTGTAAGACAAATTTATGGCATAAAAGAGGACACTCAAATCGTAGTATTTTGTAGAACAAGATACAACATATCTCAAACTTATTTCCCCAGGAAAAATATCTTTTTGTTGTCTATTGATATATGTCTCTTGTCTATTTTCAGTTGGTGAATGAGGAATCATCTTCTCAGGAAGATTCTTCAATCTCCCCTGAAGTTGCAAACCTTATCAATTACATTTGGAATGAGGCAGTAGGCAGTCTGGCAGATATTCTGGCCACTCCTCTTAGTTCCATCAAACTTGAGGATGTAGAGAAAGCTGAAGCAATCTTACTTTTATTGAGAAAATCAATAGATGATGGTGAAGGGGTCAGCACTATTCACCAGCTATCTGATGAGTTTTTCTCAGCTATTCCTCACAAGAACAGAGGAGAAAACATAAGTTCAAAGCGTCTCATTGCTCAAAAACAAGACTTTTGTCAAGTAAGGAACATCTCAGATATTAGAAAAGGTTGATTCATGAGTGTTTTTTATCATGTGGGTGGGAATAGTTGTTTAACCCTTAAATTCCTGAGATCTGATTGTTAATTCTCCCCTCTATTTGCTACACATGTTCTTGTAAATTAGTTAGGAGAATTTGTGATTACAACATCTACCTGAAAAGTTTTAAGTATTTTTATTACCTGTTTGCTGGATATTACATGGAATTAAAGGGAGATGTTATATGTTAGTAACTTCTGGGAGTTGAAGAGTTAAATTGCTGGTGTCAGTTATACTGTTGATCATGAACATCCTTTCAAATGGCTTACTGGTAAATTTAATTGTATTTGAAAGGAAGTTGTTTGATTCACCAGTTCTGAAATACTGGTGACAATTTTAAGATTACAGTTTGGGTAGGTACGGTAAAGCTTATAAGGGTTACCCATTTCTTCTGATTGTATCTTAAATTATCATTATTTGTTGACAGCTTATTAAAGACATGGTGAGCATTGGCGAGTCTACAAACTGGAAAACCAGACAAGATGTACATTCCAAGTACAGGGCACTCAAGTCCTATATTGAATGCCTTAACCATGAAAGTGATGGTTTCAAAAAAATCCAAAAGCTTGTTAAATCAAGCGAAACAAGGTAAGAAAATCAAACAACTGAAGTTGAGAACTCCACTGTAAAACAACTACTAATTTTTTTTAGCAACACTTCTGGAGATTTGATAGCATTCTACAAGTGTGTGAATCACATTCAAAGAATTGGCTGTAACCACACAAAAGGGTGGGAGACGAGGTAGCCTCACAGTTAGTGCTCTGGACTCAGGGTCAAGCGGCTGGTCTCAAGACCTGGTGTTAAGGTTTTTATTGGCTGTATCCTCCTAGAATTAGATTTTATTTGATTCCAAGGCTCTACCTCGTCAAAAAAAACTATCCTTACTCATGAACAACAACCTCTCTCAAAGGCTTAAACTCAATTCTGGTATGTGAAAGCTATGCGTGGGTCAATAAACATGCCCTTTGATAGGATAAACAGTATTCGGTTTCATGCCAGGTTCTAATTAAAAATTATACAACTGTTGGCAAGGTTCAATTCTGAGATTCTTAAGGTTCAGTTCTTAATGTTCGTGTTCTGTTTCTTCACACCTGGCCAGGTCACTGTGTTGTGTTCTTTGGCCAAATACTTCACTCTCACAGTGCTTCTCTCCACCCAGGTACCGGCCAGCGGTCAGGGAAGCCTGATGAAAAGCTGGGTGGTTACCTGGCGATGGACAAGCATGCCATCCAGGGATTTGTGCTTTGGAAACCGGGATAAGCTCCGGATTGGGAGTGGGGAAGGATGGGGGGGGGGGGGGAGGGGTAGGATTTAGTCTACCTATCGTGTTAAAGGTGTTCGTGATAGATGTATTTTTAGACATTGAACAGACGTAAGTCAGAGATATAAGAGTTGAATATAACTTGCAAATGTTGCTCTCTTTGTTAGTCCTCCAGAGATTGATGTACTCAATGTATACTCTATCCACCGTCCTGTGGAGGAAACTGCCTTTTCTCCCCACATTGGAAATAATGCTCTTCTTTTCCATGCATCGAAGGTGAGCGCCATTTGCAAAAGTAACGCTTAACTGTCACGGTCTTGTTAGTAATTCTGCACTCTTTCCTTTTCTCTAGTTTTCTTCTATAGTTTTGTGTATGTTAATATTCTGTTTTAATTTGAACCGCGCGTGCACTTGATATCTTAAATCGTTAAAAGGAGACGGTAACAGGACAAGATATTAAATTGATTTACCCGGAGGTTTCCTGTAAGGAAGATACGTGCGCTAATGGACAGTGGAGCTGAAGACAGTTGGCTGCATATATGTAAAGGGTATATGTAATGATGTGACTTTAATTTTATTGCAGGTGGCAAACTTTGTAGGCATACTTTCAAGGTACGTCTTTATGAGTATTATTAAGATTGTGGATTGTTGTTGTTATAACATTGTTCGAAATTATATCGAGCTTTCTTTTCTCCTATTTCTCAAACCTTCAAGAGTCATGTACAGTATCATATCTTAGAGGAGGAGGGGAACATGTAAGATGTACTTTAAATTTCTTGTAGAGGGCTTCTTATGCCTAAAATTGTCGTGGATGACTTTGGAGGACAACGCTCAGACCCAGGAATGTTAGGAAGTGGGATTTACTTTTCCAATTCTGCCAGGTAGGAGCTACTTGTGTGCTGAATGATCCGGCTTCGATAATCTACAGTCAGTGCCTCTCAATCGATTCAAACAATGTGGTAATCAATAAAAGATCTCCTCACGGGTTTAACTCTAGAAAGCCACACCTTTACGGGGCGTTGCGATATCTTCCACCGGTTTTTATTGACTCGCGCCACGTATCACGCTTTGGAGCGGTACTGTTCTTAGTCTGCAGCCAGGATGAAGTTGTCACTTCTCTAAATAAGATACTCCGTCTTTTTTTTTCTTTTCTTTTTTTTTTTCCGGGAGGAAGAGGAGCGTTTGCTGCACACATGCTGGATAACCTGAGTTCCATCTCTTACTGTATCTAAGTGGGCGAAGTTAGGAAAGTCTTATATCAAAATTAAGCTCAAACCTCATCATTTTCTTACTTTTTCTCATACAGCACCAGTGCCAAGTACTCGGCACCTGGAAGCAAGGGATCAAGGCTTATGCTTGTGAATGAGGTCGCCTTGGGTAAAGTCAAGGTAACAATCTTGAAACTCATAGTAACACGAGAGGCTTCTAAAAAACCTTTTAAGATGATGATGAACAACACAATATACCATAGCCTGTATGAAACGTCCTGTATTTCCTCTTTTTCCTACGGAAAACGCTCTGATGAAGTAACAGTAACCCCCCTCGCCCATTTATACTCATGGGTGGAGAGAGGCTCTGTGACAGTAAAGTGTTTCTCCAAAGTAAACAGCACTATAGTTCTGATCAGAATTCGAACTCTTACAATGTGATTGTGAGTCTGGTACCTGAACGTTAATCGTCGAGCCTCTATGTTCGATCCCAAGGGAAGGGGGGTGGGAAGCCAATTAAGATGTTTCTATTGGTCAATAAGGTGTGACGTTCAAAGCACAAGCAACAACCGATGTAATTGGTGTTTTGTGGTTCCTCAGGAGTTCAAGACATTTGCCATGGATTTGACCTCGCCTCCACCAGGTTATAGCAGCTGCCATGGAATGAGAAGCACGGATAATGAGCCTTCTGACTTTAAGGTCGGTTGTGTAGGCATTTAAAGTAAGCAAGTTGCTTCCACCAGACTGCTGTAACTGACAAAATCGTTTTTGCTCTTCAGGACGACGAGTTTGCCATCTACAACGGGAACCAACAGAAAATAAGGTAACTGTAACAGTGCTTGGTGTCCATCACCTAGCTTTGAGGGTTGCAGTTAAGAGGACTTCATAGATCTGATTCATAAACTGCTTTACATTTTCTTTTAAATTAGTTGGGAGGATTTGGTGTTATATCAACACATATTTTCTTGATAAGATTTTCCATTCTCGGTATTTGTTTGTTGGATAATAGATTCATATTAAAAAGAGACGGTGCATCTTGATCAATTCTGGATCTGTAAAATAAACTGAGGCCAAGCTTTGGCCGGGAAACGATTTTTCGTTTCTGGCAAAGCCTGAAGTGATACAGTCTCTCTTCCTTCCCAGAGTTGTAAGGGAGCTTACTTGAGGCTGTTTACTACCCTAAGTCACGTAATACTAAAAAAAAAAGTGCGTTAAGCCTCGGCAGTTATGCAGGGCCAGATTTATTTGATACTTTTTTAAGAACTATAACCTTTATTTACGATACGTGTGTGTAAAATATCTGTCCAATGATCTTTAAAAATTTCCATTTTTTTGCAGATATCTGGTTGAGTTTGTGTTGCGTGGTGATGTTGTAGTCGCTGATCGAGATGATGCCTCGATTGATAGCGGGTTTTTCGATGATAGCTCGGAAGCTGCTCCCGAAGGTATTGAATGAACGTCCTCCATTTTGACATTTTTTTTGTAGGTTTCTAAAATTAAGGTGACAGGTCGCTGTTATTCAATTATATTATGGATAATAAATTGCGATATGAGTCTATTTGCTATTTGTTATTGCTTTTAAGCATGTTCTTACAATAGTTGAAAATGTAACTAGAGTTTTGAACTGATTTCAAATGCTTTTTCCTAGACCATCGCGGCAGTGTAGTCCTAACGGATGTGATGTCAATTGTGGATCCTCTGACTAAAGTTGAGGCAGGACTTAAGGGAACTGGAGACAAGTCCATCCCGTTGCAGTCAGTTCATATTAGAGCTAGGCTGTTGGATTTGGCGGCTCAGGTTGGTCAAATTGCCGAGGAAAATTTGATTAAGCTTATTTGGTAGGCTACATCATTCATTCCCTTTCTGATTGAGCTGCATCGCGATCTGTGATATTATGTCACATTTTTTCCGGTTTCTGGGCGCGAAAAATCAATTTCATCACGAAGGAGGCTACAAAATATTAGATCGGCGAGGTGGAAAAACATCGAAGGGGAGAAGATAAACCAAGAGGGAGAAGTATGGTCAAGGATGGCGCAGATTGACACGGATTGCAAATTAGTAATGATTAGTAATGACTAATGATTAGTTTGATTAGACAGGAAAACACCAGAGAAGCAAGACTAAACTAAGAAGTACGGTCAAGGATGGAGAAGATTCATACGGATTGCAAGCCATCTAGTTTAAGATGCCGGAAGCGTGACGTAGCTCCTATCGTCTCTCTCCAAAAGCTGTTTGAATTTTTGGCAATGATAAGCTTACAAATCATTTTTATATTCTTTTTATTTTTTTACCACAGGTGATAGTTTTTCAAGAGTACAGCAATAACAGCTCGACGCCCATAGAAGCTAAATACGTTTTCCCTCTCGACGACATGGCAGCAGGTTTGTGTTTAGTCGACAGCCTGATAGTTTATAGAAAAATTCGAAACTATTTTTAAAAAACTTGTGTGATGAACTTTCGAACTCCTGTAATTTGTATCTTGGCTACGGCAGATGACCTTCGGACTTGTAGTTATAGTTGAGGGGTAAACTTTGTTGGACTCTCATATCTAGGAGATTCACTTCTCTGTAATAGTTTTTTCCCTTGTTTTGGTTGAGAGAATAAATTCAAAATTAAGGGTTCACGTTGCCGACGAATCGGGCCCGCTGTTTTATCTTAACGGGGTTTAAAAAGCTCCCGAAGTACTGTTGAATAGAAGTTTAACATACCTTCTCTGTTGACGTCCTTCTGGTCATAGTTTGTGGTTTTGAGGCGTTCATCAATGGTAAGCATATCGTTGGTGAAGTGAAGGAAAAAGAACAAGCGCACAAAGAATATAGGGAAGCCATCAGCAAGGGGCATGGGGCCTACCTTATGGACGAGGAAACCCCGGTAGGTAACGTGTTTTCCACCTGATTTTCAACCACGAAACTTCATCTAGGTTGTGTTGTGATATCGAAGTTGCTCATTTGAATTGAGTGAACAAAAGAAGAATTTATAGGTCTAAAACTTCGAAAAGGTTATATTTTTTTTAGTTATCCTGTCTCCTTCAAACAAAGTTTTGGTTATCATGCAATTCGTACACCTCCAGCTTTGTAGCGAAGTCTTTTTCGATTTTGAGATAAAGGTAATCGTCGATAGCTTTAGTGGTCTCCTCGTAGATTTCTTGAAACGTAGAATTTTTAGAGTAAATGTTCATTTGTTGTTATATGGGGTAAGACTGCGCTACCACCACAACATGTCGCCCCCTTTCTCCGAATTCTCTGGGTTCCTCAAGGTAACGCTAATAAGATCCCACCCTTTATTTATATCTCATATTTCTCTTGCTTATTTCATATTTACTCAGGATGTGTTTACAGTCAGTGTTGGAAACCTTCCTCCCGGTGCTCAAGTGTTAATCAAGATAACTTATGTCACTGAATTAACAGTGGACGGCGAACACATCTGTTTCTCGCTCCCAGGCTCCGTGGCTCCGTGGACACGTGACAAGGCCTTAGAAGAAGTAACTCAGGTCATGAGCCACATTTTATGCCTTCTTTCACTTACTTCTTTTGTGTTGTTGCGCGTTTGACTTCAACTTCATCGTTGAATCAAGTTCTTTTGTTTTTTTTCTTATCAGACTTATGTGGATACAGTGCGGATAGGGGAAGTGGGACCCTGGTGAGTTCTGGGATGGGAGTGCGTTGATTTGTAAACAGCTGTTAATTTTTTCTCTTTATTTTTGAAAGTTGCTCGGGTGCAACCTTGAGAAATTAAGCTGCATTTCCTTTTTTATTATCCTTTATTCGTTGTTCTCTTTCAGCGATCCCGCCTTTGACGTTTCTATGAAAGTGTCCGTGGAGATGCCCTTTGAGATTCGCTCACTTGACTCACCGACTCATGCGATGAAAGTTAAGGTAATATTCATTCACTCACGCTTTTGTGGAGCACTGTTTCATTGCGTATCGAAAGATGTAACGGACTGCATTGGCTACTTTCAACTATGTTTTGTGACTGGTCCAGAAAACTCGCGCCTTCTTCTTCTCAATTAATCAGTTACAAGACTAAAACCGATCACGACTTGGTCGCCCGCGTTTTCCTGCGCTTCACGAGGTTTTGGTTTTACTTTGATATCTCATTGATATTTTCCTTAATTTTTGGTTTTAAAATAGGCAATTAAATAGCGCTCTCTAGTTATATTTCTTGACTTCATTTCTTACTTGTGCCTTTCGCATTTCCTCTTCTATCCACGATTCTAGAGAGGAAGATTTTAATCGCCTTTTGTTAATTGTAAACTATATGTTGATAAAGGTAGATGAGTCGCTGCAGCGAATTTTGAAAACCTAGCGTTTCGAGCATTAGCCCAGCATAACGTTGTTATCTGAATATTCATGTTTGTTTGTTTCTCTATCCAGCGAACAGCCACCAAAGCAGTGATAGAACTGGAGCCAGGCCAGTCTCTTGGAGATGGATTTCAACTTTTGATTGGTTTAGCAGAGATTCACGTACCCCGGATGTGGGTGGAGCGGCACACCAACAATTCAGATAGACAGGTCAGTGGTCAGCTCTCTAGTGTTATCTTTCACATTGAACACTTACAATCACTTGTACTTTTGATGTAAAGAGGCGGAATAGCAAGGTTAATACTCAGGACCTGTGACGACCTGCCTTTCCATTCCAAAGGAGTTAAGATCCTCTTAGTTGCTTTCTGCTGTGGAAGAGCGATGAGGGCCACGTGTGTTCTTCTCTAAAGACCTTTAATCTCATGGACGCATTTTTCCTCTAGGCTTGTATGCTCACATTTTATCCTGAGTTCGAGGCTAAAAGTCCTTCTGAAGTTGAAGTGATATTTCTGCTTGATCTCTCCAGCTCAATGAAGGTCAGTGTTGATCTCTGTCAATATATTATTTGTACGTTTCTGTACAGAAGCGCGTAGTAGTTATGTTCTTCGCATGCTAAAGAAAACCCCTCTGGGGATCAAATGAGAGCTGTTCATTTCCGGCGCTAATCTCAAACTCCAGAACCATTTAATTAGGAAATTTGCGTCATTTTTCTATGGTTTGTCCACAGCTGTTTAATCTCAGGTTGTGCTATTTGTACTTTCCGAAGGAAACGATAAGCCAGGGCAAGGAAGGTACCTGGGTCAATTTTTGCCGGAAACGTGCCGCTGGCCTCTCAGAACCCCAACCCCATTGTAGTATATACTTTAGCCAATTACAGACCCCATCTTAATCACTTTTGGTAACATGGTATCAACTTTTTAGCCGGGAATCTTCCCATCTTTAAATCCCTACTTGACAGAAACCTCCTACCCCTATAATGCCGAAAATGGGCGAACTCATTCTAGTAAATAAAGGGGGTAAGTTTCTAAAGAAACTGTGGTGCTGCATCGGTGGGAGAGTAATGTATTATCAACTGAGTTGAAAAGATAAATTGGCCACCGTAAAGAGTTTAAAAGCTGACGTTTTTAGCGTTAGCCCTTCGTCACACACAACCCACAATTCCTCCAATCGCTCTGACGAAGGGCTAATGCTTTGAAACTCTTTACGGTGGCCAATTTACGTTATCAATTCAGTTGATAGTACTAAATTAACCATTCTAGTAACTCCATTGAAAATACGACCTCATTGCAGTCAATTCAGTCGTTTGAGCGACCTCATTCAGTGGCACATTCTCATTAGCCTTTTACAAGGAACGAACCAAGCTCTAGGGTTACTGTGAAATCTGATTTCAGATCTAAAAGCTTTAAAAGAAAATTCAGTCAAATTCTTTTTGTCTAGAATATGTCTATTTGATGCTTTAAAAATAACATTGAAAACTAGCCCGAAAAGGATTTTGAGTAAAGGAATAAAGAGACCCAGACTAAAATTTAATCCTGGTTAGCGCTAATCGGCCTTCGAACAACTGGGCCCAGAACTGCACCATTGTCCTTATTGCTCTGAAAAAAATATGTTATACCGCTGACATCTGTTTTCTCTAACAGGGTTCAAATCTTAACGACGCCAAAAAGATACTACTGATGTGCCTTAGTCTTGTGAAGGAAGGTTGGATTTTCAACGTACTCGTGTTTGGAAGCAGTAAGTTCATTTGTGTGTCAAAGGGATTTTTTGAAAAAAGATATACCACGGACTTACACATTGCAACTCAAATGCGTTTCTTCATTGGAAAAGAAAGTTTCATGTGTCCTATCTCATACTAGTCCATGGTCATATTTTCGTCAGAATAGTTAATTGCACTCGCTCATGCGCCTCACATTCGTAGACTCCGTTGAAGCCACGTTAGACATAAGAGGGCACCACTCCTAAAGCACGAAGATCAGAACAGTGCCAAGTGTAAAAGAGAGGCTCGAAAAAAATCTGTTTTAAACGAGACTTAGAGAAAAATTTTTAACAACTAATGTCTTCAGGCACCACGATGTTTGCACATACTCGTCCCCATGATGTGCAATGTTCCTGGAGCCGACACCACAACTGTGGTGCGATATTCGTGAACCGTTAGAGTGGAATCGAAATATCTGAAGTTTTAATTTTTGAACACATTGCATTTTGAAGCGTAATTTTGTAGCAACTCAAGCGTGCAAATATGAAATAACTATCCTTGAAAAACGCCAGTGCATTTCAGCATGATAATCAGTCGCGCGTTAACGTCACGTAACGATTGCGGATTTCAAGACATTTAAAAAATTTCACTTATGGTCTGACGTATTTTCCTTTCTTCAATTACTCCCTTCAAGATTCTTGAGCGTAAGCTTCTTCTCTCCAACCTTTTTATTTAAACCTCTGTTCAGTGTGTTCATAACTCTCAAATGAATAAAGCAATGGTTAAACTGTGCGAGAGAGAGAGAGAAAGAAACTTGGATTTGCTTCATTCTTTACAGATATTGTGAAAATCACTCTATTCTGTCACGAGTCAATTATTTAGTCAAAAGATAATCAGACTCTTTAATTGATAGTAGTTTAAAGTCCATATACTCAAAACTTTGAAACCATTATTAAATCCAACGGATACAGATGCTTTAGAAGGATTTTACTGTAAAGTTTTCTCCAGAATGTGTCTTTTAATTTGTCGTTTTCTAATGATTTTTCGTTATTTAAAATGTGCAACCCACGAAGATGACTTTGAACGTGCGCAAGTTAGATCTGCTCAGTTCTTACGTATTGTTTGGAATTTGCATAATTGTTTTTACAGTTTGCAATATCGATTCATCAACAAGCGAAGCGCCGGCGCCGGTTCAGAAAAACAAAAATATTTTTGGGAGCGGAGAAATCGTTAAAAATGACGAAGGTGCTGACGAGACAAGGAAAGCTTAAACAAGTCGAACGAAACGGTGCGGTGATGTCGCACGATTTAGATGATAGTGTTTACAAAAATGGGTCACTGAAAGAAGGTAAAACTGAAGAGGTCCACCGCTACTCCATGTTATTACGTGAAGATCAAATCCCACAAGCTTTCCGCACCGAGTTTCTTACGACAAGATACCGGCCGCGAAACCTGACCGCTCTCGATAGCGTGAAGAGTGTTTTCTACGCCAACAACGAGACAGTAAATTTCTGGAGCCATGTTCTCTCCGCCGTGATACTCATTGCCCGCTACTGCTCAGTGGTGTGGAACCATAATCCTTTCACTGATCATTTTTATTTTCCACTGATGTCGTACACTCTCGGCTGCTGCATTATGTACACGATGAGTTGTGTGGCCCATATGTTCAGCTCTATGACCGAGCTACAAAACCACATCGGGTACTACCTGGATTACGCTGCTATCAGCGTATACACATTTACCAATGGCCAAGCCTTCTATTTTTACTGCCATCCACTGGGATCTGGGCTCCTTTTGTTCGACTGGCGGGAGTTGTTCCTATTCGTTTCAGCCCTGATTTCGTTCAGTGCCACTTTCAACTGTTGCAAGTCTCGTCATCAGTGGTTCGATCTCCGTTTCATCGTCCGCACCGGTTTCTACATCCTATCCTGGTTGCACAACTGTTCACCGTACTTCGTTCGTCTGTTTGTGTGCTCTTCTGATCCTGCATGCAATCCCGATTCTCTTGGTCTCTTCGTAGGGTGTCTTATCTCGTTCGCCGCCGCTGCCTTAATGAATATGACCCGAATACCTGAACGGTTCGTTCCCGGGTTCTTCGATTTTATCGGGCAAAGTCACAACTTTCTTCATGTGCTTACCACTACAGGTGACCATTTTGCATTCTCCGTTCTCCTTTCGGATCTCTCAGCCAGAAAAGAATTCCTCGTCACGGAACATACACCGAGTTTTTTCGAGACGATCGGTTTGACTCTTTTAGTTCTGGTTGGGAATCTCGCTATCGTACTCTGGTTTGCTAGGTCTTTAATTTCGAATTCATTCGGTAAAATTGGACATGATAAATCTACTTAAACTGAACTTTTATATTTCTGCGAAGGAAGGCGAGAAGTTCGCCTATGTTGCAAATACTGTAATTTGATCGAAGTGGATGTTTCTTCCAAAAGTAAAATTTATGTTAAGTTTGCCATTGTTTTTCTAAAGAGGAACGCGTGAAAATTGTAAAGAAGAACAAGCGGTTTGCTTTCTACTGTTGAGATACATATAGTATGAATTTAGTTTAATATTTTTTATGTTATTTTAAGTACGGATGTTTTATGTCACCGAGGCAAGTTGTCCTCTTCAGAGAAATGTCCGAAACTTTTTCTTTCAATTAGGACTTGATCTTTTAATGAGGTTTTCTCTATATATTCTTAATTAGAAAGGTATTTGAATTCATTTTTTGCAGATATCAATCGCTTGTTAACACTTCAGTGTTCCACGCTATTCTTGTGCTGATCATTGTAATGTAATGTCCATGAAAATTGCATGAAAATGAACTTTTTACAGACATAGTACCTTTGTTCTACTTGTAAATTGATTTCATGATTGTTTTTACTCGCAAAATGTTTTTACCATTGTAGTTAAAACAAATTTTGAGACAGCTTTGGTCATCGTACTCGAACTGTTATCAGAATAACTGCTTTTAAGTGGCGCACATTCAATCCTCGTTTCAGCAGCTCTCTTAAAATGAACGGCCCTCCAATAAAAAATTAGAAACAATTGAAAAAAGCGCTCTCTTCCGTCCCTTTGTTGTAAGGACGAGTTACAAAACCTTTAAGAACAATGTTTTATTATGAGAGAGGATTAGATTTCGGCGTTGATTCTTTGACTGGTTTATCACACTCGTCTATCCTTTCTTCCAATAACTGATAATAGCTTCTAACTAAAGCATTTCAATAAAGGAAACCATTTCCTTTTCTTCTACATAGCGCTCATTGCAAAATTGTAAGTTGTGACCGATCCTAACATTCACCATCTTTCTATTCTACTCATAGTATCTGGTTTTTTGTTGTTGTTTTTTTCTTTGTTTTTTGGGAAAAATTCAATGAGTGTCTTCTCTTGCCCTTGTAAAAGCGCCCATTTATTTCCTATATTAAAATATACGCCCCAAACGCGAGGATTTTCAAAGGTGCTTGCTTCCGGATGTTTTTATGGGTCTGATGTAGTTGTTGTTTTATCAAGAGCTGCATGGAATTTTGATATGTTTCCTCGTGATACCTTATCTCAAGTAGAGAGAATAATATTCTTTTCAGATATTACATCAACTTGTTCCTGTGGTAGCCCTGCTCGCATTGTGCGGGGCTCCACGTGAAGGGCTATTTTAATAGCTCTATAAAGCAGTCTACTTTTAGTCTAGTTCAAAGGATATATTACGACTGTGGAACTCTATCCACTTAGAGCATCCTTTTGATGATAGGTTATTGCATCTTAAAAATTCTTCTCAATAATTTAAGGGAATTATCCGTCTAGACAGAAATTATAACAAGAAGACTGACTGTGCGTGCATTTCATGCATGCGCTTCAACCGTTACATTCAAGCAAACGTCGTGATTTATAGCACTACGATTAGCGAATTTCCGCTGAAACGCTAACGTTTCCATAGAAATTTGTTAAATAAAACTTTTCTGGTGACTTGATTGTCCAGAGTTATCACCTGCTTTGATGCTATAAAGAAACAAAAAAAGCGAGAAGCCCTCACGAAAGGGTACTGCTTCTAGCAACCTTTTCTCTATCCAATGAATGAATTTTATCGTTTTGTTTCGCTACAGTATTGTATCACCTAGCTTTGTTAATTCGTTTAATGTACATTTTAAAGCTATACCGAAACATCCGCGAAGAACGAGGAAAATCAGATTTGTGTTGATTTTCCTAGATAGAATAAATCACAACGGAATTGTTTTTTTTTTTACATACATCTCTGTACAATTAACTCCAATTTCATGCGGTCCGTTTTTTTGTAATACATTGCAAAGTCGATGGTTCGAATATTCAGTGAGTGACATTGATAAATTTTTGTGGAGTTTATCACGAACGTGTTTTTACCTTGAAATACAAATTGTTAACTAGTATTACTGTTTTGTTTCAAATTATTTTCAGTTTGGCCCATATTTACGCAACTATTCAAATATAAACAGAGGGTCCCTCGAGACTTATACAATAAATATTACCATGAATAATGTGGCTTTCCTAATCTATCAAATTTATGCGCCACAGGCGAGAAAATCAAGATTTTACGAAAATCTTTTGTTCGCCTTTATAATACTGGCAAAGGTAATTGCTGGCGTTCTAATGCTGGGAGATGCTTTCGAGAAAGATGATCTGGTAAATATTTAAAATTTACATGACGTTAGTCAACGCGAGCAGACGCGCGAGGGATTCTACAAGCCAGTTGAACTTATTGTGTCATCCATTTCATACCGGTTTTAGCGCTGGCTTTGTTTTGTTCGGGAATGTTGTATTAATCTGTGGTTTCGTTTAGTTCTTAATGAACTTTTCAAGAGAATGTCTGCGTATCTGTCCTGCCAGTGTAGCAGAGAACGATTTTATTTATTCATGATAAGCGTCGCGACTGGTAAGCGGTCCGATCAGCGCTTGGCGTTTTCAGAACTGGTAGCGGTTTGATATCAGTGCTTGACTTGACAACCGGGTAAGCTCAAGGAAATTGAGCAAAAGCGAAAGCACCTAGGAAATCAGCCGTAGGTGAGCCACATTTTTTATTTAACGGCGGGAATCTTCAAGTGAATGACCCACAAATGAATAAACTGTTGTCTAATTGAGGAAGACAACGCCATCAATCAATTTTATCGCTGAGTGAAACGAAAGAAGGAGCTGCTAATCCGTGAGAATGCATTTAAAGACGTACAAAAGGCCTCAACAACCCAACGAAATGAAAGAAAGAACGCCGACAAACTGTCACGAATGGGAAAATAATTTTTCAGCCTACGACAATATGAAGAAAACTTCAAGTGTAAAAGAGAACTCTGAAGGGGCGAACAAGACAAAGTACGGCTTGTCAAGCAACCAAATCCCTGAAGTGTTCAGGACGCCATTCATCGTGTCTGGTTATCGACGACCCGGATTAACCTTCTGGGAATGTATCAGAAGTTTGCTCCGATCTTCCAACGAAACTATAAACGTCTGGAGCCACCTGCTTGCTCTAGTACTGTTCGTGTCTGTAAACATGACGTCCTTACCCACGACTGACCCATTTTTTCTGCCGCTGATCTCCTTCGCCGTGGGAATTTCGGTTCTGTATTTAATGAGTTCCTCTGCACATCTTTTCAACTGCATGTCAGAGGATTCCCATAGAATTTGTTTCTTCTTTGACTACGCGGCTATCGGGTTTTACACGTTCACGGCCGGGCAAGCAATGTTTTTCTACTCTAGGACCGCGGGCGCGTCTGCTTGGGCAGTGCACGATTCGCTTACCGTTTTCCAGTCTATTTCGACGTTCTTTTCGTTTTTCATAACTTTTTTGTGTTGCGCATCAAACCATCCACGTTGTAAAGATTACAAAGCCTTGCTGAGGGTCGCCGTTCTTGCCGTAAATTGGCTTGTTATCACATCCCCGTACACGGTCCGTATTTTGTTATGTGAAAACGCCGACCCAGCGTATAACCGCATATCCACGGTGTATTTCAAACGTCATGTTGTCTTCTGCGGTTTAGGCGCCGCGCTGTACGCCGCGAGAGTTCCAGAACGTTTAATGGCAGGTGTGTTCGATAATTTTGGCCAAAGCCACAACTTAGCTCATATATTGATCGCCATGGGTATCCAACAGGCGTTCAACGCGGCCCAAGTGGATCTTCAAGAAAGGAGATCAGCTCTGTTAGATCGTTTTTCTTCACAGCCCACTCTTATGAACACGGTCGGCGTGGCCATGTTTGTTCTCTTTGGACATGTTGCTATTGTCTTGTGGTGTGCGGGAAAGCTGCGTTCTGTAAAGCACAAATCTGAGAGTATTAACAATTAGTTATCGCATAAACTGAGAATGATTTCAGACTTATTTTTAAGGCTTTAAATATTACATTTTCTTTGAGTCCTTTCCGCATTTTTCAAAAACGGTGATATAAGATCTCCTAAAAACCAAAAATAGTGTAGGAATGAGTTTTATCTCCATTTAATGTAGCTACTTAGCGATGTATTGACTCGTTCTCCGCAGCGTGCAAAATTATACTGATGTGATTTATGTAGGCGACAGAGAGCCTTATCCAAGAGTGTTTAGCGGCATAAAATCGCTCAGGTTGTTTAAAGAACATGAATAACGAGCCGTTGGGCGAATGATTGTCAGTCTTTCTGAGTGTTCTTCGAATATCCCGTGAGTGTTTATCACGGCATAAACCCTTGGAAAATGTATCTTACTTCTTTCATGACATAACCTTAACATGGATTTGTCAGATGGTGAATTAAATTTATTTCAATCATAAAAGCGATTGTTATGTGGTGCTTAATTGTTTATTGGCGTTAGAAACCAATCAAAATGCTCGAAAGAGTAAGGAGGACCTGCATTAGCCCAATAGTTGAAAAAAATGAGATGAAAGATTCAGAAGAAGTTACGAAGAGAACTAACCAGGGCTAACGTAATTTTAAATGAAGCACAACCTCGTTCAGAGACAAATAGACTGATCAATTTTGACAGTGAAATCAAGAATATCGTATCCAGAAATTGTCTGACGAATGCGAAAGAGTACTACTGCATACAAAAACCTTGCAAGCTTAGAACTCAGGTCTGCACCAGGAATTTTTTCTCGGTTTTAGTTTATCTCCGCGAACTCTGCTCTTCTAGCGTTTTTCCTATTCTGTTTACTCAATTCGAATTGTATGAAAAGCAGTCATGCCAGAATGCACGAAATGCCATGTACATAAGTTTATATTTAGCTACTTTATAGTCACAATGTAGTACCTCTTCTTTAATTAAATAGTTCTAATTTTCCTTGCAGTCAGTACTGAGCAATGGTCATAAATCCTCCTCAAAACCCTCAACAATTGTTTTACAGAAAAAACCTTCCGAACCAGCTTCAATCGCAGATCAGAGAATCAAAAGTTTCTGTAATTTATTTGAATTAGAATATTTATTGTCTCGTCAACAATTCAGATGTACATATGAATAGCGTTTGATTTACCAGGTGCTCTCCTCATTTTGTGGGAGTCAATGGCCTGGTAGAACGTGGGCTCGGAAACGGAATTGACCAATCAACTCGCGCATAACTTAGAATCCTTGGTTATAAATTTGATTGCCATGAACATTGAAGTTAAAATAAGAGTAACACGCTCCATTTCCATGCTCTTTTCGTAAATCCGTGGACGCTACATTTCTGTCAATGGTTTGTTGACTACAAACAAGAGATTAGTTTATAAATATATATTTAAATATATGAAATTCATATATCTAAAATCTTCATTCATTACTTGGATGGTTTATTTGGACTCAACACATTGACCAGCTCCCAGTTGGCTTGTTAGCTCAGTTGGTAAAGCGCTGCACCGGTATCGCAGAGGTCATGGGCTCAAATCCCGTACGAGCCTGAATTTTTTTCAGGTCCTATTTTCAACTACTCGTTTCAGTAGTGTTCTTAGCTGCGAGGATCTCTTAATTTCATCTCTTCACCGCAGTGCAAATATATGAAATTCAGATTAGTTTGTAGTTTAACTACTGTGTTTTGACGGCAGGTAGGGAGGGACACGTTTAATTGTCAACTTACTCTGTAAACGTTTTTTAGCATTTCCATCGCGTCTTTAGCCCTTTGTGCAGCTTCAAATTGATATTAAATCAGTTCAGTTAACTGGCTGTACTTGTCTGTTTTCAGAACATTCAGAGCTGTTTCTATATAGCGTACGAAAAGACAAAGATTCTTTTGAAGAAGCTAAAAAATTTGTCGAGGTAAGCAAACTCCTAAGCTTCCGTAGGGTGGCTCAGTTGACCAGAGACATATCGGCGTATACTAGGAGCTCATTAATGGGCTCCTGCGTTTACTCAGATTCTCGCAATGGTAAAATATGAGCACAGGCTGCATACGATTTTCTCAGTTATTTCACTTGAAAATTTCTCATGCTGGCAAAATTTACCGCGTGGAAGGCACGTGAAAAGAATTTAAAAACTTGTTGTTGTTGTTGTTCCTTCCTCAGATTGCCTTCTCATTGAATATAACATTCTTTTTCTGTGCAAACGAATTAAAATGCCATTCCATTCCTTTGGTTTTCAACCCGGTTGAAAGTCAAGATCGTTAGTTATTACGTCATTTTTTCCAGTCCTTAACCGCTGACAAAGGCAGCACAGAGTTGTGGCGAGTCCTTCGGAAGCTGTACATGTTACCCACCTTATCGACCGCTGACCACCCACGCAATCTGTTCTTAATCTCGGATGGCCACGTGACAGAAGAGGAAACCACTCTTGGCTTGATCCGTAATCATTGCCAAAGTGACAGGCTCTTTTCCCTTGGTGTGGGGTAAGTAACCGGAAAAGGGCCTTTCCAGGTTAGGATCGTATTGTACCATATCTCCCAAAGGCTTCAGCTCTGTGTTGGATGCTCAAGCTAAGTTTAAATTTTGCAAACACTCAGGAAGGGCGTTTTGAGCTCTCAGATTTTGTAAACTTAATGTTTTTTCCATGAGATAAAGCTTCCCTTGTTTTTAATCTCAGCGAAGAGATCCAAAGATGTCGTCCAATTCGGTCTTCTTTTCTTTTCTGATGACAGTCGACTCAAGTCCGTGTGCTGCGGTTGGATGCCGGTACCAACTGAGCTACGATGCTTCAAGTTAGGATTGGGGCAGATCTCGGGGTGCGCAGCATCCCGTAAAGAAATGTGATCTCTGATACTAAATTATTTTTTCCTGTTCTACCTGTAGACGATAAGTGACAATTCGGATTTTTGGTTAAACGCCACCGATGACTTGAGGCGTTACCTTTAAAATTGCTATATATATCCGTTTGTATGCGAGAAGTTTCTCATCACTACACCTTGTTTGGTTCGTTTCCTTTTCTCCTCAGTTCCACGGCCAATCGTTACCTTCTACGAGCAATGTCCAGAGTTGGAGCTGGTGCCTCAGAGTTTTTTGACGGTAGTGCCAAGTCTAAATGGGAAAGAAAGGTATGGAATTCCTGTCAACAGAAAAGGCTATTATGACTCGAGATGAAAATTGATGGCATGAAATTATTTATCGATGACAACTTCCGCCAATCTTCATAGTCTCTTAGAAAACGGCCATAGCTTCTGGATAAATTGATTATCAAAAGAATATTTAAGAATTCGTTGTTGAGAAAATAATGTTCATTTAGGTGAGATCGCAGTTGTCCAAAGCTGAGCAACCAGGCCTGACATCAGTGGGAGTAACCTGGCAGCAGCACGATTCCGGGTCCAGTCCCCCTGTACAAGCTCCTCACCAACTCTTGTCGCTGTTCAACGGTTCTAGACAAGTGGTTTATGGATTTGTTGATAACTGCACACAGGTAACTACTGATTTTCTGACATCAAGTTCATTTTAAGGCTACACTGATGCTTTGAATTTTTTCTGAACTCCTACCAGGCCACCTTGAGCGCAGAGGTTAACGGCACAACGGTATCAACCATGGTGTCTACCGCTGATCTAAATATCACTAAGGGCAAAGTAAGTGCAAGTGGAACAAAACTATCCAGCTTTCAGTGATTGCATTTTTGGTAATTTTCTACAATCGCTTCCTTGCACAGATTCTTCATCAGCTGACCGCGCGTGCAATCATCAGAGACTGGGACGAAGGTAGCCTGCATGAGCAGCGCACTGGGCACGAGGTTTGTCTCAAAAACATAGCTAATATTAAATAATATCATTCATCATTGCATTTATTTTAGCCGCATGTTGTCGGTGCTGAGTAATTCAAATCGTGTTGGAGGGAGAAAGAGGGATTGGCCCTAGTCTCCATAAGATGAGACAGAAGCAATGAGGATTATGACGATAACTTCAAATGGTGATTGACACATTACACACTGATTCACTATCCTGATGGAGGGGTCTGGGTTCAAACCCTGCTCAGGGTTATCATGTTGTGTTCTTGGCGAACACAATTTACTGGCTGCGAGTTGTTCAAGGGGCTGACTAAGAGGCTAAACTAACACTAAATAACGGATAAGTCGCTATCTAGTGGATAACTGCGAACAAAACGTATTGCGCTATCCACGGGATAGAGATTTGTCTTGGGGATTGAGTTATCCACCATTCAAAGAACCGGGGGCAGCAGTTGCATGTTAATACCCAAGTGCTTACTTATGTCTAGGCCGTCGAGATTTGCCTTGTTCATGACTGAACCGAGGTTGTTGTTATTTTATGATTCCGTAGATTGTGAAGAGAGACAGGAAAGACTTCATCGTTTCCTTGAGCAAGACGTTCTCCGTGGTATCCAAATTCACAAGTTTTGTTGCAGTTGAACACAGAGAAAAGGTAGAAATGAGATAAAGGGAGAAATATGCCCAAGAAACCATGCAATTTAGTCTCATTGATGAATAGCGTATGTACGAAATTATGATTCTTGCTTCATTTTGAGATTATTAAGAGTAACCGAGCCTTTCTAAGTCTTTTTTCAATTTGCTGAAGATTCGACCATGGAGGTCGCCATATTAAATCTTTCTTAGCGATCTGGCTTCTTACCTGTGACATAACAAGGCTCATTCCCCACTCTTCCATCTCTCGCCAATTTGTTTGAAGCTACAGGAGCGGCAGAATGTGAACCGTTGCTCATAGGTTATGTGTGCGTTCCCATTTTACTGAATTGTTTTCAAAATGGCGGAGTCTAAAGTTGAATTTTTAAAGCATTAGGAGAAAATTTTCGAATGGCGAGATAACTCTGGAATCTCAAATAGGGGTAAGCTAAGAATTTACATGTAAATGCTTTTTAATAACATGAATGATAAGGTTTCCAGAGTATACGTCTCGTTGAAACCCTGTTTAAAGGAGTATTGGCTGGAGTTGAATTACCCAACCTCTCAAACTTCTTGACAACATGTGTGTTGCTTTTCCGTTTCCTTCTTATAGGACGAGAAATTCAAGGAGGGCCAGGGACCGAGTATACTCGAGTTGGTCTCTACGGAAGATGTAGACATATTGGAATACATAGCTTGGGAGAGTCGACCTGTAATGGAGAAAAATCAGGAACTGGTAAGAATGGTCCTTTTTCAGCAGTAGCCTTCAAATCGAGCTTACTGCAAAGCCTTATATCTTGTTTTTTTTTATGACCTTAGTCCCAAGATCTAGCTATAAATTTTCTCCATTTTCCAGAACATATTTCTCATTTTAGGTTCGGAGAATTTACTGTCAAATCAAACAACATCCCCTAGTTGATATTCTGGTATTCCTTTCTTCCCATCAGCTTTCTGCTTGAAAATGTATAGATCTTGTAAAGACAAACTTCTTTTGAAGTCACTCCTTGTTGGGAGAGGTTTTAACTTAACAAAAAGAAAAGCGTTTTCGGGGTTTGGTGTTTTGTTAAAATGATTTTGGAGGTCAAGGCTAAGATTGTAATTTTGTCGTTATGTGCAAATCTGCATGATTGCCCTCCACGTTCCAACCACAGAATATTGAAGAGAAACTAGAGAAAAAGCTCCAAGAGGCGAAGGTGTTGGAGACAAGCTCAGTTTTACAATGCGAGCGCCTTTACAAAGAAATTATTGAAGAAGCGAAGGAAAACCTCGGTGCTGATCAGCCAGTGACAGTTAAGGTAAACTGGGCCTATTTGATTTCCATGGTTTTTTGTCTACTTGTCTGTTTCTGGTCGTTCATGACTAAAGTGTGGTAGAGTAGACAAAGACACGCCACGAGATGCAAGAGAGACGTATTTTTCAAGTGGTTAGCCTACTGAACTTCGAAGCGAATAGGTTGGGTTCTAGTTCTTCGTGTTGTATTCTTGGGCTAGATAATTTATATTGAACAACCCTCTCCTCCTTCTCTCAACTCAGTAGTAAATGATAACCATTGAACTGTAAGTAAAATCCAAGGAAATTGGGGGAGGGGATGTGGTAACCTGTGGTGGACTGACATTTTATTCAGGAGAAGTACTCCTAGTTGCTTCATTCCACAGCGCCCGAGCTCAACTACAGCAGCTGTGTAGGTCAGCCTCGTATACAAACGATGTTAAGACACGAATAAGTTGCCTCTGGAGTCCTTGACTGTCTTTGTCTTTAAAACCAACAATGAAGAGTATTTCTGGCCGTTTAGTCATGTTTATTTTTTTTTAACACAGGCAATAAAAGCCCTTTCAAACCTGTACACTTTGATGGGTGAAGAGGAGAAGGCTTGTCGAATTTTTGAAGAAAACGAGTCGGCTGTCAGTGATTTCAGGTAAGAGCGTACTTATTCCTTTTCTCCTTCATCATTATATTTTAAGTTACTTTTGGCACTTGGACAAACTACCTTCATTTTGCGCGACAGAAAGACCAAAACGAAGGAAAGACTCACTAAGAAAGTACAAGGATATAGTGAAGGATAGAAACATTGATACGGATTCCATATATATATATATATATATTATAGTGTTTAATTATCATAGGACAAGTTACATCTTTTGTCAGTCCCTCCCCTCCCCTCCCCTCCCCTCTACTCCCCTCCTTTACTTAACCCCTAACCCTTGGATCGAAGTTTGAACTAAACTTAACTAAACCTGTTGCTTGCTAGGAATAAAACATTTTCATTTTTTACTTTTTCTCGAAGCACGGAGTAGAACGGGTGATAATATGTGATCACACTTTTTTGACTCCGTAAAATAGGTCTTTTTGCCTAAAGTTTTCTTAAAAGTTATAACTCGCCATGAAGGGTTGTCGTTAACTGTCGCTGATATTTCCTATTCATGTGATGACAATTACTAAACAACTTTCTTGATTTCACGCGATGGTCTGGTTTCCTGTGGCAAGCTATACTTTGGTTATTTTTCATCGGGATCAACCTTTTCAGTTTGCAGCTTGTTTGAGTTGGAAGTGGTTCAGTCATTCTCTCAATCGAACACTTTACCAATCGTTTGCAGTTGAAGATCGTGTTTTTCTAATGGAACCTGACCTTTGAATCTTCCCCTACATTAACATTTACATTTACATGTACATTTCAACAACTAAAGGGACTTTTAAATTTTTCTTCTAAGCGAAAATATAAAAAGCTGGAAATTGATCGATACCATGAGGTAAATAAGAACATCAACAAGAGAAAATCAATTTGAGAATTTCTCCCTCATCCGCGATTATACATTTTTTCGATTGTAGTCTCGATGTGGAAGTGCCACGGAATTCCACAAGCAAAGATTCCGACTGGAGTGATCCTACAGAAGGTAGTGCCTTCTCCTCTGGGGATAGTAGCGACAATAATGTTTCGGTGGCGGAGGCAGAACTTCTGGATGAAGAGGAGCTTGAATTCTGTGAAATGGACCAGCAAGGTACGAGGAAACTTACACCAAGGGAGCGGCCATTATTTAACCCTTTAACTCCTAGATCAAATTTGTAATTCTCCTTGCTATCAACCATACAATTCTTATAATGTTAGTTCAGAGAATTTAGTATTGGATAAACTAATTATCCCCAAATTGATATTTTTTTATTCTTATCACTTATCTGGTTGATATTATATCGATATTTTACGGAGAAATTCTGTCTTGGAAAAGAAAAGTACACATAATCATTGTGGGAGCCGGGGAGTGGAGTGTACTTTCCCTCTGTTTATTTCTTGGGATTTATCAAATAGAGAATATTTATGGAAACCTCAACATGATAGTTTTCTGGGATAAGGATAGACAAAAAGGAGCAAAGAAGCTAACTACACCATGACAACATAAGTTAAATATCAAAATACGAATTATATTTTCAACCTACAGGCATGGATGAGGAAAAGGAAGCTTCAGAGGCGCCCTTCCCGCGGGTAATCACGAAAGACATGAATTCAGCCTCTAAAACGAGGACCCAAGGTACAGTAGAACGTGTTTTCTCTTACTAGTCGGTTTGATGGGTGATGATAGTTAACCTTTGGACCCCTAAGTGTGACAAGCATCTAATTTCTCCTTACAATATCACACCTGAATCGTACATTAAGGTGTCGAATATAAAGGAAATGATCGCCCATTAAGAAGCTCTTGATTGTTTAACAAATTCTCCTTGTCAGCGCAGTAGGAAATGTGTGGAGAATAGTAAGGATAATATGCACACTGATGTTAGGATGTAACTACGTCTTGTCAACTTTTTTAAAGCCACTTGCTTGGCTTGGTGACTTTCGGGAAATGTATAACATTTCATTAAAAGGAACCGCTTTATCTGGTGATCTTTCGAAGATTGATGCAGTAACTGGTTCTTCGAGCTATAAAAGTGAAATTTGAAAGGTGAAAATGACATTCCCCCTATCAATCAAGAAGAAGTCTTTCACTATAAAAAATTCAGGTCGTCATTCCTCCAATCATCAGTATGAGTTGGTATGACGTCAAATTTCATGGCACATTACTTGAGAAAGCCTTATTGTAGTGAGGTTTTTTGATATGCAAATAATTATTACGGCCCATTAAAGGCTCGAGGTTGGAGGAAAAAATTTCAAAAAGCGTATTTTCTTACCAAGTGCGATAATTTATTATTACAAAGAGTGACAGCTTTTTTGTTACATAGTGCGACGAAAAGTTTTTGTAAAGGTCGCCAGCTATTACAAAGTGCGACAATTTTTATACATAGTGCGACAGGTATTACAGAGTGTGACGATTATTACAAAGTTCGACAGAACAGAGTTTCTTATTTTGGGCGGACAACTACAAAGGATGATTTTCCAATGGATGTTACTCTGCATTCTCCAAAAGAAAAAGAAAAAAAACTAATTGCCACTAACATGATCCTGTTTCTGTCCAAACAGACATGGATACAGAGAGTGAATCAAAGCCTGAGCCGGTGAAGAGCATCGGCACTCGTGACGCCGAGAGAAAACCTGAGGCATTATGGCGAGCTAGGACAAAGTCACGCATGGCTGCGTTCTATAGAGGTTAATGTTAATCTCGTGATTTTGATGTTTTCTTTGTCTTTGTCTTCGTTCTTTTATTAGAGTTAGCGTATGAATATCAGTATCTGGGCAACTGCCCGCCCACCCACCCCTCCCCTAACTCAACAATAGTCAGTTGACAACAAGTTAAGGTTAATGTTGGCTTAGGGGAGGGGTAGGTGGGCAGTTGCCCAAATACTGATATTGATCCGAGTTAGCTTGATTTCTACTAGTTTGTATGCTTGCTTATTTTCGTTGTGCAAAACTGTGCCTGTTTGCTACAATGTAGACTGCGTAAAGTGTTATCATTACACGTAGTTCGAAGTTCAAACTTAGTACAGTAGAAAAGTACGCATAATCATTGTGGGAGCCAGGGAGTGGAATGTACTTTCCCTCTGTTTATTTCTTGGGATTTATCAAATAGAGAATATTGATGGAAACCTCAACATGATAGTTTTCTGGGATAAGGATAGACAAAAAGTAGCAAAGAAGCTAACTACACCATGACAACATAAATTAAATATCAAAATACGAATTATATTTTCAACTTACAGGCATGGATGAGGATGAGGATGAGGATGAGGAAGAGGAAGCTTCAGAGGTGCCCTCCCCGCGGGTAATCTCGAGAGACATGAATTCAGCCTCTAAAACGAGGACCCAAGGTACAGTAGAACGTGTTTTCTCTTACTAGTCGGTTTGATGGGTGATGATAGTTTACCTTTTGACCCCTAAGTGTGACAAGCATCTAATTTCTCCTTACAATATCACACCTGAATCGTACATTAAGGTGTCGAGAATAAAGGAAATGATCGCCAATTAAGAAGCTCTTGATTGTTTAACAAATTCTCCTTGTCAGCGCAGTAGGAAATGTGTGGAGAATAGTAAGGATAATATGCACACTGATGTTAAGATGTAACTACGTCTTATCAACTTTTTTAAAGCCACTTGCTTGGCTTGGTGACTTTCGGGAAATGTATAACATTTCATTAAAAGGAACCGCTTTATCTGGTGATCTTTCGAAGATTGATGCAGTAACTGGTTCTTCGAGCTATAAAAGTGAAATTTGAAAGGTGAAAATGACATTCCCCCTATCAATCAAGAAGAAGTCTTTCACTATAAAAAAATTCAGGTCGTCATTCCTTCGATCATCAGTATGAGTTGGTATGACGTCAAATTTTATGGCACATTACTTGAGAAAACCTAATTGTAGCGAAGATTTTTTGATATGCAAATAATTATTACGGCCCATTAAAGGCTCGAGGTTGGAGGAAAAAATTTCAAAAAGCGTATTTTCTTACCAAGTGCGATAATTTATTATTACAAAGAGTGACAGTTTTTTTTATTACGAAGTGCGACGAAAAGTTTTTGTAAAGGTCGCCAGGTATTACAAAGTGCGACAATTTTTATACATAGTGCGACAGGTATTACAGAGTGTGACGATTATTACAAAGTTCGACAGAACAGAGTTTCTTATTTTGGGCGGACAACTACAAAGGATGATTTTCCAATGGATGTTACTCTGCATTCTCCAAAAGAAAAAGAAAAAAAACTAATTGCCACTAACATGATCCTGTTTCTGTCCAAACAGACATGGATACAGAGAGTGAATCAAAGCCTGAGCCGGTGAAGAGCATCGGCACTCGTGACGCCGAGAGAAAACCTGAGGCATTATGGCGAGCTAGGGCAAAGCCACGCATGGCTGCGTTCTCTAGAGGTTAATGTTAATCTCGTGATTTTGATGTTTTCTTTGTCTTCGTTCTTTTATTAGAGTTAGCGTATGAATATCAGTATCTGGGCAACTGCCCGCCCACCCACCCCTCCCCTAACTCAACAACAGTCCGTTGACAACAAGTTAAGGTTAATTTTCGTTGTGCAAAACTGTGCCTGCTTGCTACAATGTAGACTGCGTAAAGTGTTACCATTACACGTAGTTCGAAGTTCAAACTTAGTACAGTAGAAAAGTACGCATAATCATTGTGGGAGCCAGGGAGTGGAATGTACTTTCCCTCTGTTTATTTCTTGGGATTTATCAAATAGAGAATATTGACGGAAACCTCAACATGATAGTTTTCTGGGATAAGGATAGACAAAAAGGAGCAAAGAAGCTAATCACGCCATGACAACATAAATTAAACATCAAAATACGAATTATATTTTCAACTTACAGGCATGGATGAGGAAGCGGAAGCTTCAGAGGTGCCCTCCCCGCGGGTAATCACGAGAGACATGAATTCAGCCACTAAACCGAGGACCGAAGGTACAGTAGAACGTGTTTTCTCTTACTAGTCGGTTTGATGGGTGATGATAGTTAACCTTTTGACCCCTAAGTGTGACAAGCATCTAATTTCTCCTTACAATATCACACCTGAATCACACATTAAGGTCTGGAGAATAAAGGAAATGATCGCCAGTTAAGAAGCTCTTGATTGTTTAACAAATTCTCCTTGTCAGCGCAGTAGGAAATGTGTGGAGAATAGTAAGGATAATATGCACACTGATGTTAGGATGTAACTACGTCTTGTCAACTTTTTTAAAGCCACTTGCTTTGCTTGGTGACTATCAGGAAATATATAGCATTTCATCAAAAGGAACCGCTTTATCTGGTGATCTTTCGAAGATTGATGCAGTAACTGGTTCTTCGAGCTATAAAAGTGAAATTTGAAAGGTGAAAATGACATTCCCCCTATCAATCAAGAAGAAGTCTATACTATAAAAAAATTCAGGTCGTCATTCCTCCAATCATCAGTATGAGTTGGTATGACTTCAAATTTCATGGCACATTACTTGAGGAAACCTTATTGTTGTGAAGATTTTTTGATCTGCACTAAATAAATAATTATTACGGCGCACTATTTAACTAAAATTGGTTTGGTACAATTCCATCAATTTCTTGGCTGCAGTCGGACAATTTGCGCAGGAGAGTTTTTCTAATCGAACATTAACTTTTGAAGATAAAAAGTCCTGGGATGCGTGTACATAAAAAATCGTAGGTCATCTCTGATTAAAAATCAAATTCTCCTCGGGTTTTACAAATAAAAAAGAGACAATTTGAAAGGCGAGTCGAAGAGTCTACCAGAAGTCACAATTTTGAAAAGGTTATCGCTCCTTTGTTTTCATTTATTGCTTCAAACTTCACTTGACAAACCAAACATTTCTCGACATTTCATACTAAGAATTTGTTCCATATTTTCTTCGATACGAGTTTGTGCTCCCTGACCAAAAGAAAAGTCAGTTTAGTAGCGTTTTTGATGGAAAAGAGCGCCAGTTCACATATTTTTATTCAGGACTGTCTGTCTTAAAATAGAATAAACTACTCTGTTAGGTTTCAGATGAACATTCCATAATTTTTTTGTGTGGATTTCCTAGCTTTAAACGAACACAAAGATAGGTATTCTTAGTCGTAACTTAATCTGGCTACTAATTATTTTTTTATTCTTTGATTTATCCCCTTAAGTAGATGAGAGCAAGAAGGCAGAAAAGAAAGAAAGTTACAAACCGCAAATGGAGCGAGGCGATGATGCTTCTCTGGTTACGCAAAGAGTCGCTTCGTCCTCATCATCGGCATTCTTGCTCCCAAGACAGGATTATCCTTCTAATGTAATTACAAGAGACGGCGTGTCTGCCTTTGAAGCACCTGGTTTTGCTTTCACATCAAAGCTCGCAGCTCTTCCTACCACTGAGGCATCTTCGTGCCAAGCTGGTTCCGGTTTGTCTGACAAGTTACAACAGCCACAAGAACCATTATTAAAGAAGGCAGCACCTGTTACCTTTGGAGGAAGAATTGTTCAAAGAGAAGGTATTCCTTTTGGAAGATCTTGTCGTTTTGGTGGACAGAATATGAAGATTTCACAGCAGTCACAGCGAAACCAATTATTTGGTAAGTCGGGAGAAGATGATGGATTATTTGATTCATCCAAAAAGAAAGCAATTCAAGAGATACCAACGTTCATGGAAAAGGAAGCAGTGCCCCCAGTTGTTGGAAGACGCTCAGGTTCTAGTCTGCAGAATATGGAGATGTCTAACTCAGCTCAGTCATCTGGTAGTTCTACGTTTGCCCGATTTCAGACGTTGCAGCGAAACCCCTTAAATTTTCCACAAACTGGTGGATTATTTGGTAATTCGCAGCAGATCAAAATGTTTTCCCAGCCACTGAAAGCTGCAACCGATCCATGTAGCTCTCGTTCCACATTAAACAGAGCAGATCGTCGGATGGAAGAGGAAGTGAGGCAAGAGATACCAGCAACTATCAAAGGAGATGGAGCAGTTCCAATGAATGCAGAGCCAATGTTAAAACAGGAAACATGTCCAGTCCCAGGAAATCTCCAACAACCTCTTCCTCCACCTCCTGCACCACCACCACCACCACCTGCTTCCCTTGCACCCTTGCACCGCCCTACTCTCCTCCCAGGGGGCTCTCGTCCTCCAACCGTTGTACCAGCTAGAGCGTCGTTGATGAAAGATTTCCCTGGAGTGAGCAAGACGCTAAAGGGAGTAACAGTAGCCTCTAAGCAGTCAGCATCTGCAACCACAACTGCAGTAACCGGATTTGGGGCTCCCCCTCCTCCTCCTCCTCCTCCGGCCTGTTCAGCAGCAGGCAGCTCTAAACTTCTTTCTGTCGGGTCAAAACCCCCTCCCTCGATCGGTTCAACATACCACGGGATCGTTTGTACGAGATCTTTAGAGATGAATGAAAATGAGATGAAATGTCGAGAGCTGAGGAAAGCCATCATTCAAGATGAGCGAGAAAAGCTAGAACGGATATTTACTGCACAAAATTCGGTAAGTATCGCAAAATGCATACGATTATCCAATTAAGGGTGCTTATTTTCCATTGGTTAAAGTCACACAATCTAGGTGGGATTTCGTCATATTTCCATCATCAAACTGATCTGGGCAAATTCCAGTTGGTTTTCCGAACCTTAAACCTCAACTCTCTTCCTTAGAACTAACTGTAACGGCTTGAGACTACGTGGGGACATGCAATTTTGCTATGAATCAGCAATTGAAATTTCCTTGATTGTAATATCATCCCCCAAATGCAAGTTTGAATTGTTATATCATAAATTATTTTTAACTGATATATATTGATAACTCCTTACTCCTCAAATCGAATCATTGATCATATCCAGTAATTTACCGCATAGTAAATAATTTACTTTATCGGCCAGAGATTTGTTTAGGAATTGGTATTATTTTGGAACTGTAATTGTAAAAATTACAGTTCCATTACTCCTTATAAAAAGGAGGTTTGGTAATAGCCTGTTAACTTCAAAATAATGAATATTCTTATGTTATAACAGTCGTGTGATACCATGGCTCCCCTCAGTCCCATGACCGTAACTAATTTAGTCGTAAATAATTGTAAATTCTGTCTTCCTTTGGTAAAACAAGCTTCCCAAACGTCAGTGTAAGAAAAAAGATTCTTAAGCTAGAACCACCATTTATGGTGTAAAGAATCCAGGTAAGGGAGAATTCTTTGCCCTCGACCTTAAGTGTGTTTCAGGTACAGCCCAAGAGTCCTTTGGTTTCAATGATATAAACAGTACAGCTTATATTTTTTAATAAAATTTGTCGATTTTTTTTATTTGATGAGCTTTTTGGTGTTTTTCAGGAGGGTTTCTGGAATGTGGATGACTTGCCTATCATTGGTATAGACACACAAGGCTTTACTGATTTGCTGGCAGGTGCTGGTGCCAGGTCTCTTGGTACGCTTCTGTTCTGTTCTGTTCTGTTCTGTATTGTTGCTGTTGTTTTATCTAAGACGGGTACACAATTGAAAGAGTAAAACATAGTCAAACGCCTTTCCTTCAGTACAAGATCTTTTGTTGAAATCTTTATTTCATTACATTTCTACCAACCTTATCAGCGACAACAGAAGATTCTACCGAGTTGCTAAATTGAGACTTATCTTGAACGTGGCGACATTAACAATGTGGGAATTTGCTGATTCTTTTGTAGATTTTATACAGATTAATTCTAATTTATGCTTCGAATTTTTTCGAGATCGGGCAAAATTTAACCAGGATTTAGTTTCTCTCACTTCCTACCCCTCTCCTACGCTCTTGATTCTTCCCTCCTTGAGCCTTGTGCTTCTCCCGTTTGTCTGAAAAGAAACAGAGACTGCTAGGCGAGCCAAACAAAGTGAGGAATTATTTAATTCCAAAGGCTTAGCAATTGCCTACGTTTTAAAACAGAGGCTATGAAAATTTCGAAAATGGATAATTTTCCGTAAAACTTTCGTTGGACTTTGATGAGGAAGACAAATTTTAATGCAGCCAAATTAAGAAGTAATTCCCTGATTTATTGTTTTACACGGCATTTCACGCGATACACTGCAGGTCTTAAAGTTTTTGAAAGCGTGAAAAGACTTCTGGCCACCTTCATGATGTTGGCGTTCATGAAACTGAGGCTTCATGTCGTGTTCCCACTGACGCTTCCATTCGGACAACCTGAGTCTGAGGTGAGAATTTGTCTCAATATTTTGAGGCACTGTTGTCTTTTGGTCAGAACTTAGAGTGCTTAACCAATCGTTAAAATTAGCTCCAATAACCTGAACAAGCTGTTAATTCATCAATGGAAGACGTTGGCAGCTAAAACAAGAATTCCTGGACAGGTTCTCCTGGTAGTATAGCTGGGAAAAAAAATTAACAAAGCGTTTTGATGGCAAGTCTCCTAAGGTGATACGTGTCCTTTAAGACGCAACAATGGTGAACGCGTTCAAATGTCCCTTTAGCGAAATTAAGAATCTTTAACGCAACGTAACGTGATAGGACAGTCATTAATTGGCTCTATTTAGGTGATATAGATAGGGAAAAAACTCCTTACTTACTGAATCTTAGCAGTCTCAAACTTCGTTCTCCGTGTCTTCGTGTTTTTTTTTGTGTTTTTTTTATGTACGCCGGGAAGCCTTCCTGGACACTGGGAACCAAGTCGTATCACTGAAAAATTATTATTAGCGTAGGGTCTGGGACCTGTTGGCAAAGTCCTAATGGCCCAGTTATTGTTTTTTCAAGGGCAGGTTTTTTAGTTTGACGTTTTGTCTTCTAGGTAACTGTTGGTGGTTTGGGAGTGAAGTATTCCAAAGACATCACAAAAGCGCTCAAGTGGGTTAAGATCCAGGAAAGGAAGATTCCTCTTCTTTACTCCCGACTGGAATTTGGAGCCAACTGGGAAGCGGCCACACGAACGATGGCACGGAAGATGAAAATTTAAAAGTGGAAAAAAAAAACTTGTTAGTGAAATTAAAAGCCCATTGTTCCATTTTTTTTAAGCTCCGCACAGATCCTTTTATTTTCGTAAACGGATAATATCCACATAATTTTTTTCTATTGGCAGTTGCGATTATTTTGGTTTTAGTTTGACGACATCCAGTCAAGTTGCGCTTCAGTGCATGGAATTTCTAAGATAACATTCCAAAATTAACAGGAGTCTTTATTAGAAATTGTAGTTGAATCTCTGAGATGTGACGGACTCGCTTTTAAATTTGTCCAAGATTAATCCGGGGAAAGTAATGTAATTGGGACTTAGAGTTGAAACTCCAAAACATAATGAATTTATATTTTAGTTTGGTCAAGATATGTGAAAGGCCTTTTTGAGTTTCAACCTGGTAAGTAAATGAGAACAATATGATGATGTGTGGTTCTAAAAGAACATTTTAATCTCTGAAATATTAATTGATACAGGGGTATTACTAAGCAAAATAATAATTGAGATTAAATAATAAAATAAAATAATACTGAGGAAAATAATGATTGAGATTATATAAGGCATCTTATAAAGTCTAAATGATTACATGATTTGATTTTTTTATTATTGTAAGAGGTTCAAAATCTTCATAATTTTCTGAATATGGCTACTTTTGTTAACTTGTTCGTCTTGCCATCATGACAACGGGGTAACCATATATCAACAAAAAAGGCAAAAATAAAATTCTATTTAATAAACAAGTATAAGCGTGTGGATTGTAATCTTTTATATGATTGGCTGAATCGTGCGCGCAATTTGATTGTGTCTTATGATTTATTGTATGGGACAGAGGCAAAGATGACGTTACCATAAATAACATTTTGCCTTTATCTTATAGAAAAATAGTTTCCACGTTGCCGTGTCTTTACAGTAATAGATCACAGAAGACTTCAAATCAGTGACACACTCGGCCAACCCTCGTGTGCCTAAATAGCAAAATTTCATAGAAGTCTATTACATGTGACATGTAGCTGTCACAAAAAAATTGCTTTCTTCATGAGGCTAATGGTTGGAATTGACTAACAAATTTAAGAGTTGGTTGAGTGTTGTCCGTTATTTTCCGAGCGTTTTCCTTTTTGTAATAAATTCCCATATGTTTATGTGAATTTACTAAACAAGGCGGATAAATTTGGTTGATTATTAGATTCTCTTTACGTGTAGACTGGTCTCATTGGCCTGTTTTCGGTTGTCCTCACTCATTCCCGGCTTCGTCCATGCGTCTTAAGCACTCATTAAAACACATGGGAAACCATTGGGTAAAAGTACGTTACTGTCGTGTCAGCCGGCGGGAAACTAGCCTGTAAACTGGCTCCCTATTCCAAGTTCGTGCGAAGCGGGGAGAAAGAGAGCGAGGAGGGGATGAGGGTAGGGAGGACGACGCTGCCTTACCCTTAATCCCCTCTTCCGCTTACTGATTGATTCGCAGCCAGTTGCTCTCATCGTTGGCAACCGGACCTTATCATTTGACTATCGTCAAACTGGCCCAGAATGAAAAGGAATTGATTGGCGCCCTCCTCAGCGTTTATTGGAACCCAGAAATGACTTTGTTTTGAGTTGCCTTTGTACAAAGATCACAACTTTTCTTAAATAACACTTAATAAACGGATTCATGATTTAAAACGAATGTTAGAGTGGCACTGAGAGTGCGAGAGAAAAGATAGATGAAAAGATCTGGGGGGGGGGGGGGCGGGGAGCTTATAGGAGAACTCGTTACCAACAGATGATTTCGTAGCTTAGTTGTTAGTAACAAATCTCCAGCAGGCACGGGGTTGAGCCCCGTTGAACTCTGAATTTTTTCTCAGGCTTCAGTTTTGCGTTTTCTTCGGATCAATTGCAGTTAGCCCATGATGATCCATTTTTCATTCTTGAGCAGCACACATCACCATCAGTTGAGATTTTTCTTCCATTTTATAGAGTCATTTTGAAATTATTACTTTTCCTCTACGTACAGTGCTAATACACTCCCATTCAAAATACTCACTTGTTTTCACAACATTAAGCTTCCATTTTCAAAAATAAATATTTAACGTTTTGCTGCTGCTTCGTGAAACGAACATATATACATTAACATTTACATCAACTTCCTTTCGAGTTTCCTAGGCAAACACAATGTGTGTCTCGGGTTTGTCAGTTAAAATTACATTCAGTTCTATCTTGCCCTCTCATGAACAACACAATTTACTCTCTGCATTATTCGGAAAATGAACCAAGATGATAATTTCACGTGTTTGTGTCACAATGAACTGTTTAGTTCTACTTGCTAAAAAGACGCGACAAAGCGAGCTGTTTTCGTAGATCGTCAACATGCTTTTCTTTGCTTGTAAGTCTCTTGTGTATTTCTTGAATTACCATTTTTCTTTCTTCGCTTATTCGTTTCTCGTGGCCGGCTTCCTGGCGAAGCTTGTCGACAACAACTTCAAGACGTGTGAGATTGGCGACGGCGATGTTTCTCTCGTTTCGCAACTTCTCTGTCTCGTTGAGAATTTTTGCTTTGCTCTGAACTTTCTCCAACTCCTTTGCGTCTTTTACTTCTTTAACCTTGTTGCGAAGTTTCAATTTCAGTTCATCGACGGCCAGTTCTGCCACAGACTTGTTGTTGATTGCTTCAGCTCGGTCGTACGACATTTTATGAATTGATTCTTTCAGTCTTTTCAATTCCTCGTCTTTTCCGCGGATAACCTGTCCCCAGTTTTCAGGGAACGGAAGCTGAGAAATTTGGGCCTTTAGTTCTTCGTTTTCCTGGGAAAGAACAAGAAGTTTCGATTTCGTTTGCAGAAGTTCATCTCGTAACTGTTGACCCTCTTGCCTTAAAGCACCATTTTCTTCCCTTATCTCCAGGTACGCTTTGTAGATGATTTCGTAGTCTTTAGCTTTCGGTCGCTTTGGGGCTCTTTTGATCGGTTCCTCGACTGCGTAAATACCGTTTCTTGTAAACGTTCCTTTTGTTGGAGCGATAAAAATGTGACTGGTTCTCCGTGAGCCTGCAACGGCTGGTGTTAATCCAGTAAATCTAGAAGGCGCAGAAACTCTGAACTCCATGTTAGCAAATGCCATACCTTACCACTTTACTTCTATTAAATTGTAAACAAACAAGCACCCTTAATTACACTCTGCATAAATCCGTCTTCCCGACAGTTAATAAAATTTCCTTTCTTTTACAGAAGTTCAAGGTCAAATTACTGCAATCAAGGTATTAACTTTGCCATTGTGACGTGTGTGTGCAATTCATCACTAACTGTTCAAAATAGAACTGCAAATAAAAGATCAATAAACTTGGCAATTAATTACGTACCCTTATAGATACCAATTTTAGAAGAGGTTTATTGGGCATCCGCGTGGAAAAATGGGTTTTTGTGCTGGGCTGTCTTAATGGATAACTTTGGATAGCTTTCAAAGTCGAGCTCATAAGTGGAAATGTAACTTATAGCCCAAATATGATTTGTTTCAAAGCGGCCAGGAAATATAAAGCAATCCCCTGCCAACCTGTAATTCAGCCCATTGTTCCCTACAAAGCGGCGGTCTCTTCACGAAATGAGACTTCATTTGAATTCGAAGTTTCCAGAATTTAATAAACAAACAGCACAACAACCATTTTCGCGTACTGTAAAGCCGAACACAAAAGCTTGTCAAAATCTGGCAAATTTCTCAACCAGTATTTTTTTGGCAACTTTCTCAACTACCTTTAAAACTAATTATAATCAAAGAAAAACTCAGAATTTCATCGGCAATTTAGTGTAATGATTTTTCAACAAAAAGTAGCATCGATTTGATTTAACGATTTCTTTGATTAGCTGATTGTTTTACGGCGTCAAGAACTGTAATTTCTCCTATCTCTTTTCGGTTGACGGTGCGAGAGTCAGTAAGGCCCTGAACACACTAATACGAAAATTGTAAGAAAAGGTTCCGATCAGTTAAGAAGAACCGGGGAAGGCGTGTTAGTCAGGAGCAAGAGAATATAATATTTTGTCAGGAGCGAATAACGACCCGTGGTTTTTTCATACTATGCCAAAACATTGACAGTTACAGCAGAGAAATCAGTGAGCTTTCACCTACAAAGATAAGAAAATCCGTTAATCACGTTTCTTCGAGCGTACGTGAATAAAATCTTGATCACGTTTTCTAGTTTTGCATTGTTTAATCCTCGTTTGTCCAGAAGACAATAAAAGTATTAAGTTGGGTCATTGTTAAACACAGGAAGCATCACGTTCAAGCATTCTCGATTTAAAAATGGATTAATCCTGTTAGCGCTTGTTTACACGTTCGACCTGATACGCAAGAGAGTTACTCAAGCGCAATAAAGTAATGCACTCCTCATTATTTTGTGCTGTCACTCGGTTACAAGTATAAAGAAAAATGTATGTTTGAGACTTAATCACTTTATTTATTTAAGTGATCTGCACACTTGGTATAACGACTAGTTTTCAGCTACGCCGCTGCGAGTATGGTTTAATGAAAATTAAATGAAAACATTAAAATAAAGAATCCTCGCGAGGAGTCAGATACGTTCTCGTTTCACGCGCGTGACATATGAAGTGGACATTCTCGTTATTTCCACATTATCGGCAAGTTCGTTTAGATTACTTTGGTTCTTAGTTGGTGCCCGTTGCTTCGACGAATGGCAAAATGCTCATAACGTTTATAAAAACATTGAAGTGAGAGAACACTAGAGAAAAGGATCACCGAATCGACGGCGTGTCTTCACGCATTTTCTCGTGTTTTCCCGCGCAAAACAAAAACTCGCGTTTAGACCTGTGACCCAGTGTGGGACATGACATGAGTATATTGCCCTGCCCACTCTAAATTTAAGGCTCTCTCTCTCACTCTCTTGATTTGGTATTGTATAAAGATAAATCTCTGAAAGAGATAACTGTCTATTTCTAGGGTTGACTGAGAACTTCCAACAACCTTGCAAATAAGAAAGATGATAAATTTTGAGTTAAGTAAAGTGGTTGGGAGAGAGAGAGAGAGAGAGGTGTTTATTCGTCTTGTCTTCGTAACTGTGTGCAAGACGCGTGACTCACTTAGACCTTGTCATGGCAGAGCTCATCGTGGGGTGTCTGTGACACCTCAAGGTGCACCTTAACATTACTTCACAGTTTCAACCTTATCAAAAAAAATACCTTACGCATGACAGTAACAGTTATTTGTATCGTGAAATAGGTTTTGGTTAGTCATCGTGGTAAAAGGCACTTTCAAAAGAGAAATGTAATCGTTTGTCTTACGATGTAGTCACTTTGGACTAGCGACGTATCATACTGCTAGTCGCCTTCAGCTGATGATGCATCGAGAGACAAACGATTTCATTTCTCTCTTGAAAATTATTAATATATGGAACCATTTAATCCAGAGTTAGAGGAAAAGATCCTCAGGTATCGCTGAATAGGAGGTAAACCTTCTAATGATGGTAGATCAGTTGTAAATCTTTTGTGGTAAACATCTAAATATGAGACATAGAGGAAACGCGAATAAGGGGCGTTAGTATCAAGTAAACAGCTAAATTCAATTCCTATGGAAATAGAAAATACAGTACAAAAACTTTTTTCGGCTCAAGATGGCGTGATAAATATGAAATGTCGAGCAGTAATAGTGGAGCAAAAGCAAATTTCACCGGCACAACCATTCACGAGGAAATATGCTCTTTCAGAGTGGATATGCCAAAACTATTTGCGAGTAAGACTGACACGTGTCATTTCAGGTTGTGCAGTGGGAGGAGACCGGAGAGCGCTCTTACCACTGTGCATCCCTTTTCAGCTCACTGCGCTCATTTATGAGTAATTCGCACATAAATTTAAAGGTAAGGGTGATGCTATGGTAACCTTTTGTCAGGAAATGGTCATAAAATAGTGAGGAGTGATTGAATACGTTTTTGGTACCATGCTCTAGGAACACTCAAAAGTTTAGATAGAAAAATCCATCTAAGAATTGGTGTTTAAAAATAACGAAACTATATTAAACCAACTTAAATTTAAACCAATTGGATTAAATGACTAAAGTACTTTGATAATTCAACTCTAAAAACAGTAGGTTGTGTAGGTTACATATAGATTGTGAGTTTTTCCCTCCCCCACCCTCCACCCAACATTAAATCTTGAAGCTTATTTTAAGACAGCGGTTGCAAGTACTAAAGGCCAGATGGCCGGAACCTTTTCTCTAATAGTCATAACGGAGCTTTCATCACCCTAAGTTACAAATTCTTCTTGTGGCAAACATTCTTTCAATTATTTATTCTAGGACACCATCGGTTTCGACTTAGCTGGCTTCTGCGGACCTCGACAAGATTGATATTGACTGAATCACGAAAAACGATTCAAAGTTTATTTTTGTCAATCAAAGCTACGAAGTATTATAACACATTTCTGACATCTTCCCTTTCAAAAAGAAAAGGGAAGATGTTGTCAGAAATGACAAAATTTATTTTTTTCAGTTTCATTTTATCTGAGTTCTATACCTAATATTTCTACGACAGTATTTGCTCCTTTCGAAATCTACTAAGTTGAAATCAGCCATCAGCTGGCCTTCCCATTTAGTTATTGAATTTAACGACAGTAACCGAAGAGCTATTCGATGCTTTTCGGTACGCCTTTCAAAGTCGGAAAAACTCATTTGAATTACAAATAATTTTTACAAGTTAATGTTCATATTTGCGATCGGTCTCGCACGTGGAAAGAGCGTAAGAAGTTCGAGAGATTTCAGCGTCTTTTGCAGCTTCTCTGGGGCCACAAAACACATCACTTCCACTGTTATACCTTTAGATAAGGTCTGTTCGTTGTCAAGTCCAGCTTGTGTCTCTTTCTTCGCTCGAAGTTGCTGCGTAGGGTGGCTCAAATTCGATGACGAGGATTGATGAATGCCATTTTGTCTCGAATTTTCCTGAGGTACGTAACTAAGTGTAAATGCATATTGAATAGAAATACAGTGCCTCGCCGTTTCCCTTGAAAATCAGTTTAAATTGTAGAGTACGATACAAAAAGGAAAAGCATACTATACATGGTACAGAATAAGACTACTCCCCAAATGCAGCCGCCATGACGGTTCTTATTGCGTCATGTGACTCTTTGATTAACAGTGAGAAATTTTTAACATAAAGGTTAGGTTATTGATAGCTTGTTTAGTTATTCATCACTTTTTATTTCTACATTTGTTCTTATTCTACGCGATGCAATCACTTATGCTCACAGTATGTCAAAATTATATTTTCCTTAAACGCGCACATCGCTTCCCTGACACGCAAGGTTAAAACCCTGGCTGGGTCATTGTTTTATGTACTTAGGCGAGAAAATTCAACTCCATAACGTCTCTCTCGACCCATGAATATAAATAATCTAAATAGGTACCCGTGAACTGTCGGAGAAATCTGTTAAAATACTTAAGGGAGCTCAGCTCGTCCAGGGAAGAAGCGGAGGCTCCTAAAATCTTCATATCACAGATACCAGAATATGCTTCGGTAGCAGCCATGGGTGTTAGAATTAGTTTCGTGTGCATAGATTAGATTTTATCTCGGATCACCTTCAAAGGATTTCGAAGGTAACGTAACTTCATTGTATTAGAATGGTAACTCTTGTGAACTCTTTTCGATTCTTTCGACATCAAGACATCTAGACATCAATTTTTATCATTCGCAGCAACCTGAAGTACATGTACTTACATAGAGAAGGGTACACTCCCGTTCGAAATCGATTTAAACTGTGTTTTGTGTTTTGGTTCCTTCTTCAGCACAACGTCAAGCATAGAATGAATAGAAATAAGAAATTCAAGGAAGGAAATGATAGAAACTGGGCAACTTTTTCTATGTTTGGTAATTAAATTTTTTAAAGTGAATTAGGCGCTTGTCTGTCTGATCTGCTATGAACGCTTAAATCCTTTAATCAATATTCTCTTTACTGTCTTTCAAACAAATCTTATGTCGTTAGTTTGGAGAATTTGGTGCTAACTAATGATCTTCTTGTTGATACTGTTCTGTATTCTCATCACTTGTCTGCTTGATATTGTATCAATATTGTATGGGGAAATTCTGTCTCGGTCACTCGTGGGAGTTTGAGGCATAAACCTGGATTTAACGGACTGAAATACAAAAACTAGTTGGGTTCTAAAACAAAAAATTGATCGAATCCCTTGGCCTACAGCGCTTTTGGTTTGAGGAATCAATTGCTTTGTTTCTGTTGATAGCAAAACACTGGTGTCAAAGAAATAACTAATGGTTATCATGCATAAAAGTCCACTTGACCTACCTAATGTAGCGACAGTTTAGCCTGTCAAATATTCCCTTAATTTCGATATCTTTTCAGAGAATACTAATCTCGAAAAGGGGTTAGAAAAAGAAATACTTATTGAAAAATGGTATACCTTAAACTATTATTACCAGGGGATTATCTGATAAAAAAGATTATCCGTTGTGTTTTTCTTTTCGAATCCGAAAAAAAGATACTTTTTTTTAGTTAATACGAGTGCTTATCTAAAAGAGGGTATGTATATTTTTTCCTCCCAAGGTAGTGTCAAGCACAGAATGAAAATAAAAACCTAGAAATCAGGAGATACAAGGGAGGAAAAAAAACCATAGAAGCATCCAGGAAGGTTTGTTTTTCAGTTAGTAACCACTGACTACTTGTAACTATTTATAGCTTGCAAGGCTGGTTTCCGAAACTTTGATTTTGCTTACGTTTCGATGACTTATGCGGAAGTCTGCGTAGACTTAAGTGTGTGTCATTCTATTGTTACAAGCCCATTGGGATATTTCGTTAGACCACGAACAACACTGAGGATCGAACTTTGGAGATTACCGACCTATAGCAACATACTGGTAAACCGGGACTTTTTAAGACTTACCATTGGTAAATTTGAAACTGAATTGGCGAGGCGCGCGCCACATAATAGAGAAAATGGCCTAAAAATCACCACAGGGGTGCATTTTTTTCTTGTTTTCACCAAAATCGCTTTGAATAAACCCCTTTTACCATATGGCCTTTGAAGAAGAGAGATTATGGAGGCCCCCTGTACCTTTTCTGTTGCTTTAGGACGTCTAGAAGACATATCAAATCGAGTATGAAAACTCGCTTCTTTACATATTGCTAGTATGAGAAACAGCCCTTTGCCTACTTATGGACGTAATTTTGTGAAGGGGAAATTTCTTTTGCTGTTTTACCATATGGTTATTTTAACTTAATTGTTGGGGAAACCTTATGGAAAATTTTGGGTTCGAGATTGCATAGAGTGGAAGTCATATCAAATCGTGATTTTCTGGAAATGTCGCTTATTGCATCGGCTCTTCCGCTAAATTTGTCTTCCACGGACTCCGGTGGGACCTTTACAAAAAGGAATTAACGACAGGTTTTGTGTTGAAAAACAAAAAATTATGTTGTAGTTTTGACCAATCATTGCCACAATCCCACAAGTATCCTCCACCAGGATGATGATAATACTTCATTCCTGTTTCTTTATTTATAAACTACTAACATGTTGTCATTGTTGTTATTTTCCTATAGAGAAGAAAAAGCGGGCATACAACAAGCTTCCTTCAGCCCAGAAAGAAAAAATAAAAGCAATATTTTTTATCATGGATAGGTTTTCTATTTCATGGGAGGCCTACCATGAGCCGACACAGCAAGATGAATCACTTGCAAGAACCTTCTTGGTGGAAGGATGTAAAGCAGTTTTAGACTCCAGATGTAACATTCAAAAAACATCAGAGAATCGGCCAGGAGCTGAGTTGCCGCTTGAAGACCTACTTAATCAAAGAATTGAAGATCATTTAAGTAGAACTACTAGAGATGGTTATGAATAGTTTGCCTTGTTTGCCACAAAAACAAATTAAGAGTGGGTAATCTCAATTATTAAGTGTTATCAAATATATTGATCTGTTTCATTTTGCTGCCGCTGAAGGAATTCAATCACCAAGACAGTCCAACAGTTAAAGTTAAAATATCAGGCGATGGAGCTAGAATGTCTCATTTCCTTTGTTCCTTTTCCATCTTATATGAGCATCAACATGTTCTCTGTAGTGCTAGTACAGTGCATTGATAGGTAATTATTTTGAATTCATGCAACTACAAGGCTAACTGGAAGATGCAGACAGTACAAAACAGTGCAGGTAAAACTAATTCTGACTACGTGTATCATTAATAATTGTGACAACATTGAAAAAAAATGCTGAATTCTAATCACACCTTTAGAATTACTATCTATCAACCTTGCTTATTTTGTCACAACAGGCAACCACACCATTGTTGTACTAAAAACATCTGAGGTTTTTAACAACCTGAGAACTGGTCTGGCAAATGTAACGCAGACGGTAAAAAAGTTAATTGATGATGGATTCATCTTGATCAAAGGTAGAAAGTAAATTTGTAGTTATACCTTGGTGGCAACTACAAAGTAGGACTATATAAATGTGAAAACCTTTGAGTTTGTTATTTATAATACCTTGTTTTTCTTTTTTTTCAACAGTTTCTGCTTCTGGCAATGGGCATAAAAAAAAGTCATTTCAAACAATTCATGCATTTGGTACCTAATCCGCAAAAAAGACAGGTTCTTTTCAAATTATATTATGTCTTTCATCTCTTGAAAACATGTTTTACAATACTGATGTTCTCTTTTTCTCATCTTAAGGTGCAACATGGATGTTTCATATTCATAATACCAGGCGGAAATTTTGAAATGAAAATTGGGCCCGGACGGGCACAAGCAAGTTGGATGCTTGCATCAACCATTATTTGAAATACTTCTTAGCAACATTGTCACTGACGAACTTCACTTGATGTTAAGAGTGATGGACAGACTAGAGACAGGGCTAATCCTTAAAGATGTTGATCGGGATGAGGTAAATTATATCTTTCGTTGTCTTATTATATAAAGAAATTCAAAGCGAGTATTGCAAGAGTTTCACTTTGTAATGCAATTTACCTTTCATGAAATCAGGCTGACAACCAAGGCAAGCCCCCATCAAAGAGGTACTTTCCCCATTTAGATGCACTACTTGCCATCATACACTCCTTAAGAATCTCTCTCAACATTTGGAAAACAAGAGAATCAAGCAGGACCCTTAAAAGGACATCCTCGCTGGGAAGAGAGAAGTGACTGCTCCTGGAAAAGCTTCCCTGTCATTTTACAAGTTTTTGCGCCTAGAAAGAGCACATGTTGTTCAAAAACTGTAGACAGTGAGTAAATGATTGTTTAGTAATAAATAAATAAATTCATCTTGTGTTGAAAGGAACCCACAACCTTGGGTTTAAACAGATTTTTGAACAGTTTCAATCAACTTTCACTCAATAAATGAAAATCCTCTCTTTTCAGTGCTTTCAGGAGATATTAGAACTCCTAAGCAAAGATACCCACGGCAAAGATAAAATCGTTAAACTACAGGATAAGGTTTGTGTTAAAAAAAGAAACTTTTTGACTTCAATCCTTAGTACTTTTTGTAAACAGACATTCCAATTTTTATAACCATTCTTTCTCAAATACACAGGCTAAAATGTGGAGAGCCTATTTGATATGGATGCCTGGAACTGGCTCAGGTTACACCAATGAAATAATGACAACTCCGTATATTCACATCTTGGTCTACTACACTCTAACAATGATACGCAACCATGGCTCACTCAAGTACTTCAGTGGTCAAGGTAATCATGTATAATTTTGATCAATGGAACAGCTCTACTTTCATTGCTTCTATATCCATGACGTGATAAGAAACGAAGAAGATGGAGAGAACAATGCTCTCAAACATTACAGTCCTCTTGCCCTTTTGCGTCTGTGCTTTCTCTCGATAATTTGTAACGACACCATTGGCAACACTCAAGGGAAGCCGCAAAATACCATCAAATTGTTCGACGAAAAATCCTTTCATTTGACATCAGATAAAGTTAGGTTACTAAAAAAACACGGCAGTCAAAAGTCGCGCATGCCTCATCGCCCAGAATTCAGCGACATATCCGGCACTTTCATTGAGACGCTGGCGCTAAATTTAAAAGCTAATTAGAAAATGATTGTCAAACAATAGGAAAAGGGCTGAAAATGCCGAGGAAGGCTTACGTTCTCTTCGTTTACGGATAAACTACTTTTCAAATGCTACTTTTACTATATGGCTTTTAAAGAAGAAAGTTCAATTGAACAGTGTATCATTCTCACTTTGTTCTTGCGCTTTCAGAAGAGGTCGCAAATTTGCCTTGAAAATTGACTATGTTAGCATCCTACTTGTATGAGAAGTCGATCTCCGCGCACTTTCAGGCGTAATTTATCTTCACTCAATTGCCAGATTTCTCTTTTACCATATGGTTATTTTTATTTGACATTCTAGAAAGCGTCATAGAAATTTTCAAGGGATTCCAAACTTTGAAAGAAGTCGCAAAACGCGAATTTCGAAAACGTTTGCTCAGCATCGTAGTGTTCTATCAAAATTGTCCTTTGGAGACCCCCACGAGAATACAAGTGACCTATTTTAAACTTCCCGCGAGAATATCAAGGTATGCTAAGCTCCGCCTCCGCAAACAATCGCGCACACGCCGCCTAATTAGTATTGAAATTGAGGTGGTAACTAGACAATGCTTTAAAAACTGTAAAAGCTTTTAAGATATGATCGCTGAGATCGCTGCAGAAATATTCAGCAATCGTTACTATCATATGGAAACCACACTCCTATTATTGTCGCAAGATAGACTTTAGTTCTATCTCGACGATCGTCGCAATCACAAGCCGGTTGTCGGAAGCATCGCTCATATTTTTCTCTACCGATTGAAGCGATTTTAACGAAATAGAAAATAGGCAATAACATAAAACAGAACATCCGGCTATCGACCTCAATCCTTGGTTGGAGGTTCATGGAACCTACTTTTTTTGCGAGTTCGATTGTTGAACTAATCGAACTTTAAAGATACCATTATTCTCTTACATGTCTCCTATTTGGATTTTTCCTTTGGCTGGTCTTTATGTTTGACTCAGAAATGAAGTTACTTACTTACTTAAATACGTCTAGCAATGTTTGCAAAATTCAGTATAACCGTTCATTAAAGAAAAGTGTTATTTACAGACAAATGTTATGAATTCAGATGCGTAACTATTGGCAACTGCTGTCTAATTGGCTCTAATGTCGCAACTATTGTTCCCTCGAAACAATTAACTTCGGGGGAAAAAAGCTGCTTTAATCATAAGTCTTCTTCAATCGCTAAAGCAACCTAAGTTTCAAGAGTCTCATAATTTCAGTCATGTGTTCCGTACAAGAAATGCAGCGTATTGATCGGGAGCTCTCATCAGAGCTCGTAGAATCTCCGATCAATCCTGCTTTCATAAATATCTCTGCACCGTTTATGGGTAAGAAGAACCCATCATTTTCTCTTCAACTCAATGGAGAGGGCCTCTGGCAATGGAGGAAGCTTCATAGCCACAACCAAGTTTTCGATAGCCTACAGGCCAGCTTGGTTAAAGTCGGCTACGAATTATCGTCGTCTACTCGCTCTCGAGTTGGGATGGCCGTCTACAGAAGAGTAGACTACATCGTGAAAAAGGCACGTAGCGTCAAAAACAATACAACTCGCCGAGCAGAGCGATCTCAGTACTGGTGTCAAGTTGCTCTTCACCCAGACGAGATCACCCAAATGCCTGGGGACATTATCCATCAGCTGAAAAGGGAAAATGAGGAGCTGATTAGCGAAAACCAAGAACTACGAAATGAAATGGAAGGTACGAAAATAATAAAACATTGTTAGTAAGAGTGCTGGATTACATGTAAGTTAAACCAAGGTTGACACCAGCTTGAACAGTAGCTTTTGAATTCTGAATGGTCAAATTAGTTTCTGGGCTAATGTTTTTCTGGTATCGACTTTAATTTTAACTCCAGGTGAAAACCGTACGTATGTAGACTTAAAGTTTCGTGTTCACCAATCACCAATTTTTACTACACAGAACTAACACACCGCATACAACATTAGATGACGAATCTGTATTAGTTAACTCTAGTAAAAATATACTTGACTGACTTCTACCCATATGTTACCCTTTGCATAGACAAGGCATCGCAGCTTTACGATGCAATGGCCCAGCTAAGATGGGGATCTGAGGGGATCAATTTTGGACAGATAGCGTTTTACCAATTTATATATAAATATTACAAGGAAAATATAATAAGCTACTGCTGTCTCAGAAAATAAGCGAAAGAAAATTGAAACGTTCATAGAAATCTGTAAAAAAAAAAAGCAAAAGTAGGGAAAAGGAAAACTTGAGACTTTTGGACCGCAAAGCTTATTCAAGAACGGTTATCCTGTCGATTTAGCTTTCTGTTTTGAGCTTTATCAAGAGAGTTATACGCCTCTAAAACACCGTGACTTGGTGGTTGTTTGTAATTTTGTGAGATTCTGACAGTACCAGTGGTACTAGTTAAAAGAAACATGGCCCATTTGACGAAGAGAAAATTAACCTTATGCGTTGTACGTTATTAATCAATTTGTTTCAATGGATTTGCAGAGTCAAAAGGAGAGGAGGAAAACAGGGATTCAACGAGGATTGGATAAATGGAATGGGAAACAAACAGAAAGATAAAGAAGAACTCGGCGAAATGTAAGTTGTTTGCATCATTGTTTTGTAAATAATTCAAGGCAACAGTTACAATAGGAATTTAAGAACGTCGCCAAAGTTTTTATTCTTCTGATGATTCCGTCGCTTTTTCTCGTTTAGTGCGAAAACACTAAGGTGAAAACACTAAGGTGAAAAAAAATCAAATCATTGAAAGTTACATTTTTCGATGTGGAAAAAATTTCCAAGGAAATAATAGTAACCATTTTCATAATAAATTTAAAATAATTTTATGACTAAAAAAAAATCACCTATTATATTTTCTAGTGGAAAATTAAAGACTTAGCTTAAACAAAGTGAGCAGTTACAACCAGTTAAAAGGTCATTTTCAAATAAACAAGTACATGCAACAGATAATGCATGTAAGGCGAGTAGTGCAAAGCAACCATTGCCATAAGAATCTAGAAACGCCGCCAACTGATACTCATTAGTATAATTGCTCAGGTGGATATTGAAATTCTAGCGCCCTGATTGGTCGAGGATTGCGTCATATCTCACTATAATCACCTCACCTCAGATGATTACTGCAGGGTTACGAAATTTTAAAATGACTACCTCGCGTTTTGTCGATTTCACCGAGGAAGAGTGAATTTCAATTTCAATTCCTAGGAACCCAAAAGGTGCCACTTAGTTTGGCCTAACACTTCTCAAAAGTAGTATAGAAGTTTTTGCTGTTAAATTCCAGATAAAACTAGCTGCTTATCTCGACACGAGAAATCACAACATTTGGAGCAAAACATGCACAAAGTTTTCCTATTTACAGAATGGTTACAACGACAAGAAAAATTTACAACTGTTACAGAATTCGAAAGAATCTGAGCAATTCTAAAAATAACTATTCCCCGCGGGCTCGTGATACTTTTCAAATGAAAAATTTAGAGCCTCGGCCCTTTTAGCAAGAGAAAAGCATTTCCTAAGTAAAAAAAGCTCTTTTTGCAAGAGAAAAACCTTTTCTGAGCGAGGGAGGATTATCATCAAGAAAGAGAGCCTTTAACCCAAAAACGGCATTTCTAAACATGGTTGTATTTGTCATTTTAAATCTTAAATGTTTAACCAGCAAAGACTTTGGAAGTGAAACACATGATGCAAGAGATAGATAATCAAATGCGTTGTTGTTTCAGATCCGACAAACTGTGATGGGAGAGTAAGATCTATCGAGTCACTGATGGACGTAACTTGTACATTTACAGATATTACATAAAAAGTTTCATCCTTAGGTAGCTTGTGAATCAAATGGTGTATCCATTATTTTTTAAACGAACGGAAAATATTCGAGAAAATCGTTTGAGAACACTCAACATGGCGAGAGAATTTTTTTGTTTTATTTCTTCCGGGATTTGTTTGCAAACAAAAAAAATAACGTTCTCTCTCTTTTTTTTTTTTTCATTCAAAAACCATAACAACTTTGCTTGGATTAAACAATTTTTTAACTTGTTCATTAGAGTCCCTCAAAAGTTAAACAGTTTTGTTTAACACCATACATTCAGAAAAAGCCAAATATTACCAAATTTTACCTTTACAAATCTGCTACATAAAAGTAGAACAACAAAAAGTTGGCGAGCGAGATCATGACCTCTGGATGCAACATTCAAAATTATACAAACTAAGACAGTCACTTTTTTAGTGTAAGGGATAACTCTCTGACTCTTCCTGAACTTCTCAAGAGAAGTCGTTCTATAGAACATGATTCCTTTTGCCCTTAAGCCATTTGCATCGACAAAAACAGTGGATGTTATATTCAAAATTAGCAGCAAAGTCAAAGTTCTCTCCTAATTCAGGTTGCCACGTGCAATTTGTTGAAAAATAATTTGGAGTTCAGGAGACTTTCTTCAGTAAAAGTGGAATTTTTTCATATAAAATGACACAGGTTTTTAAATGAAAAGGGTACTTCTCAAATTGAATGGGACCTTTTTTTACTAGAAACTGAAATATTTTACACACAAACAATAGTTTCTAACTGATAATGCCAACAACATGAATTTCCACTAGTATATTTTGGGAAGTAAAAAAAAACCTGTTGTTGGAATTTAAAATATTTTCCCTTCATCAGTGGGGTATGCGTTTCAGGAAGCGCTTCAAGCACTATCTACATGTCTCCTTCTGAGCATGCCTCAAGAAAACAAGAGAATTGAGAAGTCATGTTTGGAGCAGCCTTCAGCCTTTAGTAAGAGTTGTGAGAGTCTTGGAAAAGCATCTTGAGATTGACAAAGAGTTCTTATCAAACAAATTACAATGCTGTTCTTTTCGCTCTGTAGCTTTAAATCAGCACACAAAAAGATGATATTGACGTTTTGACGTCTTTTGTAGCAAAATGAAAATTATCCTAATCGTTTGATAGATTTTGAAAGAAAGTATATGGTGCGTGGATAGCGGAAAAATTTTGAGCTTCATAGGAAAAGCTGTGATTTACTCTATGAAATAAAATTAGTACTTTGTATAGGTAATCACATGAGGCCAAGTACTATTATTGAAAATTTTGAAAACTCAAGTGCAATTAATCCTTAATAGTACGAGGTCTCATGGGATTACTTGTTTATCAATAAAGGGCAAAATTTATACGAAGGAAAATCACGCGCGCAGTCTATTTTTATCTGGGAAGCAACGGATTAGCCAATCATTAACAGGTAATCATGCCCTCTCTTGATTACTAAAAATGCCCTCGATTAAGAAAAAATGCCCTCTCTCTCAACCAATCAGCACTCAGTAATTTTGCCCTTTATTGATAACATTAGTTATAGTGGATTTGTTTAAGAATCTTAAAGGACATTTGGAAACACATGGTGTATTTTATTAACGGTAAGAGATCATGACAATTGGATAACGGAACAACTTAAACTACATAATTAGGCTGTTTTTTTTAATAAATGGAAAATTCAATAATTTTAAATTAGTAGTCCGCGAAAACTTTTGGACAACTTTGAAAAGAATTGAAATATTTTCTGACTCAAGCAACTTACTTAAATAAAACCATGAAGCTGTTTTCGCAATAACACAGAATTGAACCTCATAATGACAGGTATTTCAACGCTATGTATTTCTCATTAAGGAAGTTTTCATACAAAATGAACCCAAAGAGGAAAATCTAAAAATTCCATCACCATAGAAAATTTTTAGCTCATTTAATTTTTGTGCGTTATGCTATATCGTTTTAAGCCTTTTAAGTTGAAGTCTTTAAGAGAGATTTTGATGTGTTCCTTTAGTGCTCTAGCTGTCTATCAGCCTATCTGTCTATCAAATAGAGAAGATATTTTTGTTTCAAATATACAGATTGAAAATATCGACCCTTCTTTACTTAAAGGACGGTAATATTTCACTAAAAAATAACAAAAAACAACTGAGCAGAGGCAAAAGTTTTGTTAGTAAAAAATTTAAAACCAAAATAAAGATACAAATATTTCTTAACACTTGTAAAACAATTTCTAGAAGTTATTAGAACTATTTGAATCCAAACAAATAACTTTTGAAATTACCTTATCGCCAATATCACTAAAATTTAAAACTAACAGCAAACAAAGTTGAAAAAATAGTGTTCATCAGACAAACTGGAAACAAGCAAAATGTCTCCTAGAAAAAGTAATGTATGCCTTTGAAAGAGGAAATGCTCTGCATGTCGAATGTTAAATGATAATCATTTTTACATTTCAAAGTTTTTTCCCAAAGATATTCTTCTTTCATCACGTTTTCTCTTGCTTCTTCTGGTAATGCAAATTGCTTGGCTCGTTCGACGACCATATCCTTCCATCGTAGTTTAAATTTAAGCTGTAGCTTTGCAATTCTGAGGAGCTTTAATCTTAAAAGGAACAGAAATTTGCTTAATTTTAACAGCTGCGAGAATTTTTTTCTGAAAAAATAAAAAAAAGAAATCAGAAGAAAGTTCTCGGACTGAGCTCTTGAAATTAAATTAATTTCTGCTTCTTAAAAGATTAAAAGGAAAAAGAAAACTGACCAACGGGGCCTTAGGCCCCTTGGAGGTGCTTTAACAACTTAAATTAAACGACGGCGGGGATACGGCCGTCGCCTAATTTGAGTTGTTAAATGTGCACTACCGCTAGACCACAGAGGCTTTTGGTAAGAAGACATGGCAAAATTACACTAGAAGTAGGTTTGCTCCCATTGTTAACAGAAAGAATAGCTTGTGAATAGTATTTGATTCTAAGTGCTATCATCCTCCTGAGACTTGTAATTCTATTGTGTTTACATTACATTCTTGCGTTCTTTTTTGCAGCTTGCTTGAATTTTATTACTGAAGGAAGAAACCTCTGAAAGTCTCTGTGGGGTTAGTGGTGCAAGTCAAGAGTCGTTTTAAAACCTGTCAAAGTATAGCAGTAGTAGTGCGAGAAAAAAAGACGTTCAGAAATCTGTGAAGATCTTGTAGTAGTAGTAGTGATGCAAGTGAGAAGTAATTTTATGAAGAAGTGTAGTAGAAAAGTACAAGTAAAACATTTTAGAATCTGTTCGTGAGTGAAAAATCTTTCAAAGTATCTTGTTGTGAAAGTAGTGCAAGGAAAGAGTCGTTCAAAGTCTAGCAGTAATGGTACTAATAGACAATCGGTGAAAAAGTCATTCAAAATCTAGTGCAAAATTAAAATGTCGTTCTAAAGATCTGTCAAATATAGAACTAGTCGTCAAAAAAACTGTCGAAGACTAGCGGTAGCATTATTAGTAGTGCAAACAAGAAAGTAGTTCAAAATATGTCGAAGTCCAGTACTAGCAGTGCAAATATAACGTTTTTTAGAAGGTCTCTCAAATGTACAGGTAGCAGTGCAGGTAAAACGTCGTTCAAAAATCTGTCTTAGTCCGGCAAAAAAATTACTAATAGAAAAGAGTTGAGAAAGTCTTTCAAAATTCAGCAGTAGTAGTGCAAGTAATATCTCGTTCTAAAATTTTGTTAAGGCCTAGTAGATGTTGCACAATTTGAGAGTTGTCGTGCAAATGAAATACTCGTTCAAAATCTGATAAAGTGTAGTAGTAGTGGAAGTACAAATAAAACAAAAATCATTTAGAGTGTGGTAGTGTAAATAAAAGACTCGTTGAAAATCTGTCAGTGTTGCAGTAGTAGCAATAGTGCAAATAAGAGTCGTTGAAAATCTGTCAGAGTGCAGTAGTAGTAGTAGGGCAAATAAGAGTTGTTCAAAATCTGTCAGTGTAGTAGTAGTAGTGCAAATAAGAGTCGTTCAAAATCTGTCAGTGTAGTAGTAGTAGTGCAAATAAGAGTCGTTCAAAATCTATCAGTGTAGTAGTAGTAGTGCAAATAAGAGTCGTTGAAAATCTGTCAGTGTTGCAGTAGTAGCAATAGTGCAAATAAGAGAGTCGTTGAAAATCTGTCAGTGTTGTAGTAGTAGCAATAGTGCAAATAAGAGAGTCGTTAAAAATCTGTCAGTGTTGCAGTAGTAGCAATAGTGCAAATAAGAGTCGTTGAAAATCTATAGTAGTGTAGTGCAGTAGTAGTAGCAATAGTGCAAATAAGAGTAGTAGTGCAAAAAATCTTTAGTGTATCAGTAGTAGTAGTAGTGCAAATAAGAGTCGTTCAAAATCTATCAGTGTAGTAGTAGTAGTAGTGCAAATAAGAGTCGTTCAAAATCTATCAGTGTAGTAGTAGTAGTGCAAATAAGAGTCGTTCAAAATCTATCAGTGTAGTAGTAGTAGTGCAAATAAGAGTCGTTCAAAATCTCAGTGTAGTAGTAGTGCAAATAAGAGTCGTTCAAAATCTATCAGTGTAGTAGTAGTAGTGCAAATAAGAGTCGCTCAAAATCTATCAGTGTAGTAGTAGTAGTGCAAATAAGAGTCGTTCAAAATCTATCAGTGTAGTAGTAGTAGTGCAAATAAGAGTCGTTGAAAATCTATCAGTGAAGTAGTAGAAGCAATAGTGCAAATAAGAGAGTAGTAGTGTAAATAAGACTCGATCAAAATCTATCAGTGTAGTAGTAGTAGTGTAAATAAGACTCGATCAAAATCTATCAGTGTAGTAGTAGTAGTGTAAATAAGACTCGATCAAAATCTATCAGTGTAGTAGTAGTAGTGCAAATAAGAGTCGTTCAAAATCTATCAGTGTAGTAGTAGTAGTTCAAAAATAAGAGTCGTTCAAAATCTATCAGTGCAAAGTAGTAGTAGTGCAAATAAGAGTCGTTCAAAATCTATCAGTGTAGTAGTAGTAGTGCAAATAAGAGTCGTTCAAAATCTATCAGTGTAGTAGTAGTAGTGCAAATAAGAGTCGCTCAAAATCTATCAGTGTAGTAGTAGTAGTAGTGCAAATAAGAGTCGCTCAAAATCTATCAATGTAGTAGTAGTAGTGCAAATAAGAGTCGTTCAAAATCTATCAGTGTAGTAGTAGTAGTGCAAATAAGAGTCGTTCAAAATCTATCAGTGTAGTAGTAGTAGTGCAAATAAGAGTCGTTCAAAATCTATCAGTGTAGTAGTAGTAGTGCAAATAAGAGTCGTTCAAAATCTATCAGTGTAGTAGTAGTAGTGCAAATAAGAGTCGTTCAAAATCTATCAGTGTAGTAGTAGTAGTGCAAATAAGAGTCGTTCAAAATCTATCAGTGTAGTAGTAGTAGTGCAAATAAGAGTGCAAAATCTATCAAGTAGTAGTAGTGCAAATAAGAGAGTCGTTCAAAATCTAGTCAGTGTTCAGTAGTAATAGTGCAAATAAGAGTCAGTGTAGTAGTAGTAGTGCAAATAAGAGTCGTTCAAAATCTATCAGTGTTGCAGTAGCAATAGTGCAAATATAAGAGTCGTTCAAAATCTATCAGTGTAGTAGTAGCAAAAAGTAGTAGTGCAAATAAGAGTCGTTCAAAAAGAGTCGCTCAAAATCTATCAGTGTAGTAGTACAAGTGCGAAAAAGAGTCGTTGAAAATCTGTCAGTGTAGTAGTAGCAAATAGTGCAAAATCTATCAAGTAAAGTGCAAATAAGAGTCGTTCAAAATCTATCAGTGTAGTAGTAGTAGTGCAAATAAGAGTCGCTCAAAATCTATCAGTGTAGTAGTAGTGCAAATAAGAGTCGCTCAAAATCTATCAATGTAGTAGTAGTAGTGCAAATAAGAGTCGTTCAAAATCTCAGTGTAGTAGTAGTGCAAATAAGAGTCGTTCAAAATCTATCAGTGTAGTAGTAGTAGTGCAAATAAGAGTCGCTCAAAATCTATCAGTGTAGTAGTAGTAGTGCAAATAAGAGTCGTTCAAAATCTATCAGTGTAGTAGTAGTAGTGCAAATAAGAGTCGTTCAAAATAGTAGTAGTAGTGCAAATAAGAGTCGTTCAAAATCTATCAGTGTAGTAGTAGTGCAAATAAGAATCGCTCAAAATCTATCAGTGTAGTAGTAGTGCAAATAAGAGTCGTTCAAAATCTATCAGTGTAGTAGTGCAAATAAGAGTCGTTCAAAATCTGTCAGTGTAGTAGTAGTAGTGCAAATAAGAGTCGTTGAAAATCTGAGTGTTGCAGTAGCAATAGTGCAAATAAAAGAATCGTTGAAAATCTCTGAGTGTTGCAGTAGCAATAGTGCAAATAAGAGAGTCGTTGAAAATCTCTGAGTGTTGCAGTAGCAATAGTGCAAATAAAAGAGTCGTTGAAAATCTCTGAGTGTTGCAGTAGTAATAGTGCAAATAAGAGTCGTTGAAAATCTATCAGTGAAGTAGTAGAAGCAATAGTGCAAATAAGAGTCGTTGAACATCTGTCAGTGTGTTGTAGTAGCAGCAATAGTGCAAATAAGAGTCGTTGAAAATCTGTCAGTGTTGCAGTAGTAATAGTGCAAATGTGTTCTGAGTGTTGCAGTAGCAATAGTGCAAATAAGAGTCGTTGAAAATCTTTCGGTGTTGCAGTAGTTGTAGCAATAGTGCAAATAAAAGAGTCGTTGAAAATCTCTGAGTGTTGCAGTAGCAATAGTGCAAATAAAAGAGTCGTTGAAAATCTTTCAGTGTTGCAGTAGTTGTAGCAATAGTGCAAATAAGAGTCATTGAAAATCCTTCAGTGTTGCAGTAGTTGTAGCAATAGTGCAAATAAGAGTCGTTGAAAATCTTTCAGTGTTGCAATAGTAATAGTGCAAATAAAGAGTCGTTGAAAATCTTTCGGTGTTGCAGTAGTTGTAGCAATAGTGCAAATGAGAGTCGTTGAAAATATTTCGGTGTTGCAGTAGTTGTAGCAATAGTGCAAATGAGAGTCGTTGAAAATCTGTCAGAGTGCAGTGGTTGTAGCAATAGTGCAAATAAGAGTCGTTGAAAATCTGTCAGTGTGTTGTAGTAGTAGCAATAGTGCAAATAAGAGTCGTTGAAAATCTGTCAGTGTGTTGTAGTTGTAGCAATAGTGCAAATAAAAGAGTCGTTGAAAATCTGTCAGTGTGTTGTAGTAGTAGCAGTAGTAGCAATGGTGCAAATAAAAGAGTCGTTGAAAATCTGTTAGTGTGTTGTAGTAGTAGCAATGGTGCAAGTAAAGGAGTCGTTCAAAATCTGTCAGTGTGTTGAAGTAGTAACAGTGCGGAAAAAAAGAGTCGTTGAAAATCTGTCAGTGTAGTAGTAGCAGAAGTTATAGTGCAAATAAAAGAGTCGTTCAAAATCTGTCAGAATGTAAGACTCTTTTATTTGCAATACTATTACCACACTCTGAAAAAAAGAGTGTGATAATGGTACTCCAAATAAAAGAGTCATTCAAAATCTGTCAGGGTGTTGTAGTAGTAGTGAAAATAAAAGAGTCGTTCCAAATCCGTCAGAGTGTAGTAGTGGAAGTGCAAATAAGAGAGTCGTTCAAAATCTGTCAGTGTTATAGAAGTAGTGCCAACAAAATAGTCGTTCAAAATCTGTCAGATCGTAGAAGTAGCAGTGCAATTGAAATGTCTTTCGAAGTCTAATAGTAGTAGTAGTGCAGGTAAAAAAATCGTTCTAAACATATGTCAAAGTTTCGCAGTAGTAATTTAGGTGAAAGTCATTAAAAATATTTGTCGACTGTAGAAGTAGTAGTGCAGTTGAATAGTCGGTTTAAAATTTTTCAAATTCTAGCGGTGGTAGTGCAAATTAAAGTCTTTGATAAAAATCTGTCAGTCTAGCAGAAGTAATGTAAATAAGAAAAAAGTCATTAAAAAACCGTTAGACTAGTAGAAGAATTGCAAGTCAAAAGTCTGTCACACTGTAGAAGTAAAAAATGGAAGAGAAAAATTGTTATATAATCTTTCAAAGGTAGAGTGTAGCTGCAGTGTTAGTAAGAGAAAGAAAAAATAAACACCAAAAACGTCACAGTTTCGACTAAAGATTTATTCACATATTTTCATTTATATTTGTCAATGTCTTGAACTTCTTCCTTGTCAGAGTTCAAACCTTAAAGAGATCGAAAACAAATATTTTATTTTTGAAAGTTCACTACAATAATTGCATGCAGAGTTT